AACAAGTGTGCAGCTCTGGGTTTAGTCCTCAGTACCCCCCGCAAAAAAAAGAGAGAGAGAGAGCTCAACTATTCACTCTTGTTTTTTGGGTTTAAAATACACTTACTTTTTGTGGTGCTGAGGATTGAAGCCAGTGCCAAGCAAGGGGTTTACCACAGAGCTGTGTCCTGACCCAGAGATTGGTCCCTTTTCCTTTTTGTCCCTGGGTCACACCTCACATAGCAAAGACACCATTGCTCTTCTACCCACCTACCAAAGGGACTTGGCCTGGCCCCAGCTTGGGGCAGTTGGGCGTAAACCTGCTATAAACATTTGTGTGTGGCGCTCAGTGTGGATACAGGCCTCATCTTCCTGGGTAGATGCTGGGCTAGCCTGCGAACCTCTGAGAATCTTTCCTTTGGGCTTTGGCATGGAGGTCCTGGGGGTTCTGGAGCAAGCCTCAGGGTCCACCCCATCCCAGCTCCTGCATCTGCTCTGCACTCCTGCGCTCACTGCCATGGAGCTGTGTGCTGGGCTTTGGCAAGAAACCCTGAGGCCCAAGCAGCTCGAATGGCAGGAAACAAGAGTTGGAGGCAAACCCTCCATTGTTTCGTGTTCTAGAAACTTGGGGAATGTGTGAAGCAGCTTTTCCCCAGCTGCTGCAGCTCCCTGCATTCTGGAGGGGGCCAGGATAGGGTGGGGTGCATCCGGTGGCGTCTTCCACCTCTGGACTGGTGGCCTGTTAGGAAGGCCAACTGTAGGTGGGCAGGTGCACCTGGGAGAGTCGGCCATGACAGCAGGCCGGGCTAAGGGAGTACTGCTCGGCTTCCTGTCCCAAGGCCCCACAGCGAACTGGCTCAGCCTGGCTGCCAGAGCAGCTCTTAGCTCTCCTTCCCCTACTTCTAGGACTCTCCCCGCCCCTTTCTTTTCAAATTAAAATACACCTGCTGTATAAGATTTACCATTTTATACCCCCTCCCTTTTTGAAACAGGGTCTTGCTATTATATAGCTCAGGTTGGCCTTGAACTCACTGTAGTCCAGGCTGGCCTTTAACCCATGACAGTCCTCCTGCCTGAGCCTCCCAAGTGCTGGTATTACAGGCATGTGCCACCAGCCTAGCTCGTTTCACTCATTTCTAAGTGCACAGTTCAGTGGTTGGGGACACTCACATTGCTGTGTGGCCATCAGTCCCGTCCATTCCCAGGACTCTCCATCTTCCCAGGCAGAAACTGTCCTGGGAATGCTAGCTTGTGCAGCCCAGCCCCTGCCCCCTGCCCTTGTGGCTGCCCTACTCCCTGTCTCTGCAGTTGTCCTCCTGTGACAGGCTCGTTTCACAGAGCATCACATGTCTGATCCCAGGTCTTTCTGGGCCAGAGCTTATTCTGGTTCATGGCCCCTCACCAGAGGCAGCCCCATTTCTGTGTCCCTGGTGGGAATCAAAGTGTCACTTGCCTCCCCTCCCCGACTCTCCTACCCCATCCCTAGGTGGAGCTCACCTGCAGTGCCCTGTCCCACAGGCCGCTGTTCCCTCTCGCCCAGTAGTGGCACCTTCTGCTTTTGCTGCAGGACTGCTGTTGGGCCTAGGGGTGGCTACCTACACCTGGCCTGAACTCTGGCGTGTCCCAAAGCCTGAAGCTTGGTTGCCTTGAGCAGTTCGTGGCATGCTAAAAGCCACATTCTGCACTTCTCACTCACCTAGAACTCCGAGCTGAATGGCAGCTGCTTGGCCACACCCGCCAGCTGCACCTGCCACCTGTGAGGACCCAATATGCTTGATGGTACCTTGTCTTGGTCTCAGGCCGTGTGGGGTGCCTCTGAAGTCAGCGAGGAACCCGTGACCACGTGGCACAGGCCAGAGTGCTGTGACCTTTCAGGGTGTTCTCAGCCAGCCATTGTGTCTCCCTCCCACCAAAAGTCCGAGGACTTTTCCATCATAAACAGGAAATTTCATTCACCTACAAAAAATGGACTTAGCTCCTTTTCTTTGACCCCAGTGTAGGTGTTGGCCAGGAACTGGGACTTTGGTGGCAGTGGGAGCAGGGTAGCCCAGGGACTCCTCTGCCTTTCTCTTTCCCTCCCCCCAGTCCTCCACTGGGTGGGGCTTGGGATGTCACCTCAGCTCCCCAGGTGCTGTCCTGACTGCTAGGCCAAAGCCAACATGGCTGGTGAGCACAGCCCACTGGGGCGTGCCTGTTCCCAGGAACTCAGTTCTGGCATCACTGCCTCTCCAGCTGTGTGAATTAGAGTTTTAGCAATGGTGAGCAAAGGATAAATAGTCTGACAGGGAGAGGGTGGGCCTACCTTTTGCTGAGTGAGGAGCCCTGCTAGTTTTGAGTCATTGCTTTTGCCTTGCTGACCTGTGTTCCCAGAGCCAGCCCTGAGGCCCCAGGTCAGCTGGGGTGCAAGCCTGTGGCCCCAGGGCAGTGGCCATTGCTCCCAGCTGGTTTCCCTCATGCTGTTGGCTTTTTCCTTCTGGTTTTCTCCTGACATTTCACTCCCTGGGTGTCCACTCCCTACTCTTGGAGCCAGGGTGCCTGTGGGACCTTATACCTTCAAACTATAGCCTGTGATGATGACTGGCAGCTAGCGCAAGTGACCTGGCACTTGCTTGGCACTCCTACACTTGAGCACAGGATGCCTGGGATTCCTGGCACCCAGACTGCAGGCTGGAGCCCCTGGAAGGCAGATTGAGGTCCAGACCCCTTTCTCTGCTTGGTGGCCTATATCTCCCTGGGTTCTTGGGCAGGAAAGGACTATAGATCACAGCTCTGGGTCAGCACAGATGTGCACAGTCCCAGAAGCAGTGGGTTTAGAACTTTCCTTATGTTTTAATGAGCTGCCTTCAGCACAGGGCCTGGCCTCTGACCTCAGCCAGGCCAAACACCTGTCGGCCCTGGTTCCTGACCAGTGACTAAGTCCCTGGCTGCCCTGGGAGCCCTGCCACGGATGCTGAAGTTGTTTGAGTTTTACAGATGGAGAAAGCATAACTGAGAATTTAAGAACGTAGAGTCGAGAGTTGAGCTAGACCTGGAGCTGAGGCCCTAGCGCTCTTACGTCAAGGCTAGGCACCCATGGCTTTAAATTGTATCATCTCTGAGGCACACTTGACTTGAGCTGGCAGCAGGAATGGTGTCTGACAGGCAGAGCATCAGGGAGTGATGACTGTTTAGCTTAGCACCTTGGGAGTGGCTGCCTGTAAGACAACTGGGCTGGGACTCTGACTTCCAGGAGAGGGCTTTTCAGATGGGAGCCAAGAGCACCTCAGGACCAGGCCACGCTGTTTCCTGCATGTGATGCATGCAGCAGAGCTCATGAGAGGGAAGGTGAGGGCTGTCCTCCATGGGCCCAGCTCCTGCGGTCCTTGCTTTCTTTCCTCTGTAGTCAGGAGGATGCATGTCAGTCCCATGTGTGGTTGGACAGCTGAAGCAGGCTGTGCAGGGAGAGAACTAGCTGATATCGGGGCTCTTCCCTTAGAACTGGCTTTGTTGCTCTTCTCTGGAGCCTGATTGCTCTCTGGGAAGCAGGGGTAGCCTGGAGCCTCTGCATAGCAGGGGAAGAGCGAGCATGGAGACTGAGCCCAAAAAAAAGGGAGCTTGTCAGATTCACCTAGAGAAGAAATAGCAGCTTGGGGGCTGGTGCCCAAACTCCCCAGACTATAGGCCATTGTTTTCACATGATTTAAGCCAGGTACCATTTATCAGAGAAATCACATGCCCTGGCTATATTGAACATGCAGGGTTTTTTTTTTGTTTTGTTTTTGTCTTTTTTGAGACAGGGTCTCAGTATGCAGTTCAGGCTGGCCTTGAGTTCACTTTGTAGCCCAGGCTGGTCTTGAACTTGCAACAGTCCTCCTGCCTCAGCCTCCTGAGTGCTAGGATTACAGGAGTGCACCACCACACCCGGCTAAATACACAGTTTTCATCTTCAAACCCATCATGGTTGCTCCAGCTTCTGCTATTGCATCTGCATTCCAGTCCTCAGGGAGAAAACCACAAAGGGCACATACACTTTTTTTTTCTTTTGCCAGAGGGAAAAATGCAGTCTTTTTTTTTTTGGTTTGTTTTTTGGTTTTTTGAGATAGGGTCTTGCTAATGTAGTCCAGGCTAGCCTTGAACTCACTATGGACCCCAGGCTGGCCTCGAACTTGCAGCCTGCTCCTGCCTCAGCCTCCCAAGTGCTGGAATTACAGAGTGCTGGAATTACAGGTGTATGCCATCGTGCCTAGCTGAAAATGCAGTTTTAAGCTGGAGGCCATGGATCTAGCCAAAACTAAGTAGTTGTTTTATTATGGGGAAATTCCAGTTAGTCCCTGTCACAGTTGGCTTGGGTCATTTTCATTGGTTGACCTTGATTGAACCTTAATTGGTGGTGGGAAACAGCATAGAATAGTGTTCAGGGTTAGAGTCTGTCTAGTTCAGCCACTTTGTTTTAGGAAAGTACTTAACACTCCCAAAAGGGAAGTGGTTTATAGTACTTTGTGGGCTGATTATAGAGCAGAGACCAGCAGACTTTTTCTGCAAAGGTCAGAGAGTCAGTATTGTCAGCTGTGCAGACCTCATGGTCTGTGCAGCAACAGCTGAACTCTGCTGTTGTGGACAAAAACAGCCACAGACATACAAATGAGTGGCTGTGTTTCAATAAAGCTTTATTTGCATAAGCAGATGTGGTCCAGATTTGGTCCCTGAGCCATACTGGGCAGCCCCTGTGGTAGGAAATAAGTGAGATTCTTGCAGAATAAGGAGCCTGGCATGCAAGTACCAGTGCTGCTGTCTGAGGGCACACAGCTCACAGCTGGCAGCACCTACAGCCACCTCTGCCCACTGTACTTCTGAGGCACCTCTTCCTTGCCCAACCCAACCTGCAGTGTGGGCCTTGTGACTCCTTTCACGTGGCAGATGGGCCAGGGCCGCATGCTGTACAGAAGGAGGGAAAGGGGGGTGCCGGTGGCCCTGCCCTGGCCTATGGTGCTGTTTAGGAGCTGATCCCTCCATGCCCACGCTCAGCCCTCTCTTTCCCCCAGGGTACGACTTTGCAGCCGTCCTGGAGTGGTTCGCAGAGCGGGTGGACCGCATCATCCTGCTCTTCGATGCCCACAAGCTGGACATCTCTGATGAGTTCTCTGAGGTTATCAAGGCCCTCAAGAACCATGAGGACAAGATCCGGGTGGTGCTGAATAAGGCCGACCAGATTGAGACGCAGCAGCTGATGCGGGTATATGGGGCGCTTATGTGGTCCCTGGGCAAGATCATCAACACCCCTGAGGTGGTCCGTGTCTACATCGGCTCCTTCTGGTCCCACCCACTGCTCATCCCAGACAACCGGAAGCTCTTCGAGGCTGAGGAGCAGGACCTCTTCAAAGACATCCAGTCTCTTCCCCGAAATGCTGCCCTCAGGAAGCTCAATGACCTGATCAAGCGGGCCAGGCTGGCTAAGGTAGACGGGACAGGGCAGGGCCTGGGGATTAGGGACTGGCACTTGGGGCCTGATTTGCCCAAGACCCCTCCCGCCAGCTGCTGCAGAGCCGGACCTTTGTGGCCATCCCATGTGCAGAAAGTGCTTCTTCCAGGGCTCACACCACCTATATGGTAGAAAGCTTTGAGTGTGCAGATAGTTTAGAAATGCCAAGCAGGAAGTTACCAAGGAAGCAGCCCCGGAAGTAGGGTGTGGTGGGATGTGGTTCTGGGCCTCCTGACTTCCCCTCCAGAGTTTGTTGCTGAACACTGGGGACATGTGGAGAGTGACACAGAGCCCTATAGGAGCATCGCCTAGCCTTTGGGGAAGGCAGAAGGCGCAGATGAAAAAAAAATATTAAATGTTTGTGTCTTTGCTGGGGAGACCCAGGTGCTACAGAGGCGGGCAGTTGGGGAGGCCTCAGGTGGGAGAGCTGCTGTTTAAGCTGGGGCAGGAAGTAGCTAGTGAAGAGATGGGCAGCGGCCTGTGGCCCAGAGAGAACACTGGGTGCTTAAGGCTGCACCCCATGAAGTGGCAGCGACCCACACAAGCCTTGTAAACTGCCTTTAGCTGTTTGAGAGTCCAGGGCCCTTGGTGCCTGGCCAAGTGCTTGAATGAGAGCCCTGGGTGCCAGGGCTAGGGACAAAGATCAGTGGCACAGAGGGACAGAAGGCAGCTCTTTGGGAGGCTGGCTTTGGGTAGCTGCAGGAGTCCTGGGGTTGGAGGGCCCAGCACTGCTGGGTTGCTGCTTTGCACTGGAAGGTTTGACATCAACCGAGCAGTGGCTGAGTTAAGACATTTGTACCTTAACGAGGTGTCCAACTGTTCCCTCGGACACTTAGCACAGGATTTTAAGAACAGGCTCTAAGCTGGGGATGGTAATACTTACCTGTGGTCCCACTTACTGGGGAGGCTCAGGCAGGAGAATCCCTTGAGCTCAGGAGTTTGTGGTCAGCCTGGATGACATAATGATGATTCCCCATCTGTAAAGACAAATGAAAAGCTAGGCTTTGGCTGTGGCTGCCCCCTGAGGCTGGTCAAGCTCAGCTTGTGAGAACCGCTGTGTCAGCTGAGGGCAGGTTAGGGCACACCACGTGTCACCCACTCACTGCAAAGGGCAAAGTGTTCCCAGCTGCCTGGGACACACAGAGAAGGAGGGGCAGACACCTTGTGGGTGTTCCAACTGCGCGGGTAGCTGTATCTGTGGCCAGTGACACAGTCACCCCAGGCTCCTAAGTGGACAGAGGGCTGAGGAGGGCGCTTCCTGCATAGGTATTGCTGCCGCTGTGTTCGTAGCCACCAACCCCGGGACCGCCAGGTGCTGCACACTGTCTCAGGGCCAGACTTAGGGCTGATCCTTCATCCTTGGCCACTGCTATCTCCTCTTCCTCAGCACAGGGCTCATGGTTCCCCGGCAGCCTGGTTCCCTGCCATGACTGAGCCTCAGCGGGCAGTGCCCCTGGGGCTGGAGCTGTGCACACACCTGCCCACAGCCCACTCCTGCTCTGGACAGTTTTTATAGCTCACTCCCCTTTAGATCCCTGCAGCCTTCCTGCAAGTAGGGCCGGGTCTGAGAAGGGAGCTGTGAGCAAGCCCTGAAGGACCTAGAGTGGCTGCAGAGAACCACCCCGCATTGGTGACACACACACCATGGAATGGAACTGTCAGTCCGAGGGCACTGAGTCACCAGGCCTGGAAAACCCCCCGGCCTCCAGCTCTCCCACACCTGCCTTTCCTTGGCTTCTTCCTTTTCCTGGACTGAATGACTCGCGCTGGGCTCTGCTGGGCTGGGATGAGTGGGAACTGGCTGTGACGCGCCCACCACAGCATCCTGGGGAAATCCTAGGTGGAGGGGTGCTCCCTTTGGAGCACCTAGCTGCTGCCTACCCCTCCCTCCCCCCCCCCGGCACAGCAGGAGGTGAGCCTGGCTGGCCATTCCTTGGCAGGGCAGAGAGGTTGAGGGCTGGCTGTCCTGGGGCCCCAGCTGGCACAGAGGGGACATGAAATGAAGAGTGGGCCGCCTGAATGGAGAAGAGCCTGAGCGAGGCGTGGAAACTTAGCCACGCACAAACCACACACAGCCACAGGCAGTGGGATGGCGCCCTGGCCAGCCTCCTGATCCCACACACATTTGAGTCCTCGGAGCCTGTAGATTTGGGACTTCATGGATCTGCAGGGAATTATCTGGGCCGGGGGCCTGGCCCGCCTTTGGGAGCCCTGGGTTCCTGTCGGGCTTCTGTGTTTAGTGCCAGGCCAGGCTGCTGAGCCTCCCCTGGGCGAAGCTAAATTGTCCGAACCTGAGGCTTAGGCGAGGGTGCCGAGGAGAGACTGCCCCACAGCAAGTGGCTTCTTGTGGGCAGGCTGCACCTTGCTGATCCTGCATCATCTCCGTGACTCATGTAAAGGATGTCACTGTCTTGTTTCTTTTTTCCTTTTTTTTTGTTTTTTTTTGTGGTGGGCATTAAATGCAGTGCTTTCACACTGAGCTACATTCCCTACCATCCAGCCCTTTTATATTTTATTTTGAGACAGTCTCAATAAGTTGCCCAGGCTGGGCTTGAACTTGTGATCCTCCTGCCTCAGCCTCCCAGTATGCTGAGATTATAGGCCTTTGCCATCACATCTGGCTTCCATCCTCTGTTTCAAGGGTTCTCCCCTCCCCTCCCCTCCCTTCCCTTCCCCTCCCTTCCCTTCCCCTCCCTTCCCTTCCCCGAGGCAGTGAGATGTGAGCCTCTTATTAGCATCCTGTGTCCTCTCTTCAGCTATTGGGTTCCTGGGTGGGCAGCAGCAGCTCTGAACTTGACCCCAGCCCTTGCACTTCTCTGAGCCCAGGAAGTTAGCAGCAGGCACCATCCACATCCTCAAGCCCCGAGCCAGCCCCTGACGCTGCCTCACCCTGTCACCACAGGTCCATGCCTACATCATCAGCTCCCTCAAGAAGGAGATGCCCAACGTCTTCGGTAAGGAGAGCAAAAAGAAAGAGCTGGTGAACAACCTGGGGGAGATCTACCAGAAGATTGAGCGGGAGCATCAGATCTCCCCGGGTGATTTCCCAAGCCTCCGAAAGATGCAGGTACAGCCACAGGGGCAGCCCCAGCTGTGTCCGCTGTGGCCTCAGGGCATGAGGAACACCCAGGGCACTGGCTCCGGAGGGAATCCCGGCCCCGTGGGGTGGGCCTCTCCAACAACTCTGAGTCACCTGCCCCACAGTGGCATCATCCCTGACCCAGGCTGTGACACTGGAGCGGGGAATGTGGTGACTCAGCTGTGGGGAGGGTTGGGCCTCGTGCTCTATGTCCTATGGGTGAATTTTTGCCACAACCCTGCAAGCAAGGGATTCGTATGACCTCAGGCCCTGGGGAAAGGAAAGGGCGAGGGGTGGGAAAGCAGCCCTCTGCCTGGCGTCTAGGAGAAGCTGCCACCCAGCTCTTCTCCTCTCCTCCTCCCTCAGGAGCTCCTGCAGACCCAGGACTTCAGCAAATTCCAGGCCCTAAAGCCCAAGCTGCTGGACACGGTGGATGACATGCTGGCCAACGACATCGCGCGGCTGATGGTGATGGTGCGCCAGGAGGAGTCCCAGATGCCCTCCCAGGCTGTGAAGGGTGGTGCTTTTGACGGTACCATGAATGGGCCCTTTGGGCACGGCTACGGCGAGGGTGCTGGCGAGGGCATCGATGATGTTGAGTGGGTGGTAGGCAAGGACAAGCCCACCTACGACGAGATCTTCTATACGCTGTCCCCCGTCAATGGCAAGATCACAGGCGCCAATGCCAAGAAGGAGATGGTGAAGTCCAAGCTGCCTAACACTGTGCTGGGCAAGATCTGGAAGCTGGCCGATGTGGACAAGGATGGGCTGCTGGATGACGAGGAGTTCGCCCTGGCTAACCACCTCATCAAAGTCAAGCTGGAGGGCCACGAGCTGCCCGCCGACCTGCCCCCACACCTCATCCCACCCTCCAAGCGCAGGCACGAGTGACGGGCCGCCCGGGGCCACCGCGTGACCCGCTCGCCATCTGTGTGCCTGCCCAGGAAGACCAGGGCCTGGAGGAAGCAGCTGGGGGAAGGGAAGGGTCACCGTTTTTAAAGGTCCATAAAGACCGAGCACTGTTTCCTCAGCTTGAATAGGAGAACCACCATCTTTCTTTTTAGGCAGTTCCTGGGCCCAGCTGGGGAGGCAGGGGTGACGCTCAGATGTGAATGATGGAATTTTATGCACAAGAACTCTGGATATTTTTAATATATACCGTTAGAGGCAGCCTTCTTTCTTGCCGCCTCCTCCTGTGTTGGACAGTCCCACGAACACAGCCTCTCTCCTGTCCCGGCCTTTCCTCCTGTGCGCTGTCCCTGGCGGGGTGGCGTGAGCAGCTGTGGCGATCCTAGGGACGCCGAAGGCTCCTTCTGGCAGCTGCCCCCCAGAGCTATTTGTAGACAGGAGCCCAAGCTGCCCCTGTTTGTCTCTTCTGTGTGCGTGCTAAGGCTCTCCTCGAGGGAGGGTTTCCTTCCCAACCCAGCTCTGCCTGGGCTTGGGGTGAGTCGTTTCTATGCGTCTCCAGCCACTGGGGCTCCCCACACTCATGCCCCACCCTTTCCTTGCACACCCCAACCCCAGCATCCCTTCCGGCAGTGCCCAGCCACCCCCGCTGTCTCTTTTCAGGGCTGTGGAGAGGAGAGTGTGTCTTCCAGAAAAATGTATAAGCTAGGTCTTCTGTACGGTGACACCTTTCATACTTGACCAGATTTTCCAGTAACTTCGGACCACTCATTCAGAAGCTGTGATTTTTGCCTCCCCTTCCCCTCTTGCCAGCCTGTGGGTGGCTCCATCCGGGAGCCGTGAAATGTGGGATATGCACGTAATGCGCCACTTGCAGCCCAGATTTGCTCTCTGGCCAAGGAAGGGTGGTCACCCCTGCTCCTGCCTGATGGTGTCTGAACTATAGCCTCTCACCTCTTGTCCAGGGTACCTGATGCCCCCACCTGGGCGGGCAGTGGGTTCCTGTGACTGGGGGTGGTTTGGCGCTGGTAAGAGGAAAACTGTGGCTCTGGCCTGGGCCTGGTTTTCCAGGCAGTGGGGACCAGGAGGAACCTGGTCCCTTCCTTCTGCCCTCACCCTGTTCCCTACCTTCCCCCACCCCTGCTGAGCAAAGGGGGGCACGAGGACCTTAGCTCAGCCCATCAGCCCCCAGCCTGAGTAGTAAGCCAGAGCCAGCAAGTGCTCACACCGCACAGCTGCGGGGAGCTGGGTGCCGCTGTGGTCAGCCGAGAGGGCAGGGCAGGCGTCGTGCCAGGGCAGGAGACAGGCCTTGGTCTGCACAGCGGGAGCACCAGCTGGCAGCCTGCTTGCTCCCAGCCCTGCACCTGCAGCGCAGTGGGGTCCAGTATTAGAGGGTGGCAGAGAACATCCACACCAGACTCGCTGTTGAAGGTGCGGCAGGGGCTTGTTCACACTCTTTGAGGGGAAGGTAACAGACTAAAGACTGTTTTCTTTGCATTAAAAAAAGGTTTAACTGTGCTGATGCTGACTCCGGGTTCTCAGTTGTTTTTTCCAGGGCCAAGAGTCCAGAGCCCTCCCCTGTCAGGCCCTGTGGGGGCAGAGCACTTGGAGGGCCAAGATGCCAGCAGGGCAGATTGGCAAGCCCGCCAGGGAGAGGTGGCCATCCCTTGCTGGTCACCCTCAGCTGTATAGCAGGGGCCACCTCCTGTTAATATTAGCTAGGTCTTCCAGATGGTTATAGGGTAATAGTGATCCCCAAAGAAGTGCAGCCCCCTTCCCTTGGGTGGCTGAGCGAGAGTAGTTTATTTGAGAGAGCTAAAGCAGTTGGGAGAAGTCATAACTGAGGACCGGGTGGGCCTTGCTCCCACCTGGGCTCCACCCAGCCTCGGGGGTCTGGGTGGGCATCCATGGGGCCTTTGGCAGCAAGATGGTTGGCATCTGGTCAGCAAGAGTTTCTGTTCTGAAGCTGGGCATGATGGTGCACGCCTGTAATCCCAGCACTCAGGAGGCTGAGGCAAGAGGATCGTTGTGAGTTTGAGGCCAGCCTGGGCTACAAAGTGAGCTCAAGGCCAGCCTGAACTGCATAGCAAGACCAGTCTAAAAAAGATACACACACACAGAGTTTCTGTTCTCCAGAGCCAGCCTGGTTCCATGCTTGTCCCAAGGGACTTAAAGACAGAAGCATCTCTCAAGACACAAAGCAGATACTGGCAACAAAGTGCACACAGTGTGAAGGGACCTGTCAGGGCCAGCTGATGTACAGGGAAGGGTGACAGAGTGGAAGTGACAGGCCCACAAAGGTGCTAACTAGAGGTGGCAGAGACGGTATGAGCCAGTGTTTATCTCCAGGGTTTGAGGACCCAGTGCGGTGCTCTGAGAGCCCAGCCACTGTGCCGACACCTGGCTTGTGACTGACCCCCAGGATGTCACAGCCCCTCTGCCACACAGGTGCTTTCTGGGGGTTCACCTGGAACCTCAGGACCCAGGCTGCATTCTCCTTGTGTCACTGTGAAGGAGCCTGAGATAGGAGGGTGCAAACATGATGGCAAAGGAGATTCCAGTGCAGATCTGTCTAACACCAGCCCAATTTCCACTATTTCTCATCAAAAAAAGCACCCTTTAAAAGGAAAAATAGCCAGGCGTGATGGTGCACACCTGTAATTCTAGCACTGTAGAGGCTGAAGTAGGATTGCCCTGGGTTCAAAGCCAGCCTGGGCTACATAAACAGATTAAAAGCTAGCCTGCACTACATAGTGAGACTCAAAAAAGGGCGTGGAGGGTGGGGATACAGTTTAGTGGCACAGCACCTGCCTGGCAAGCACAAGGTCCTGAGTTTGATTACTGGTACCAAAAAACAAAACAAAACAAAACAAAAAATGATGTGGTGGCACACACCTGTAATCCCAGGATTTGGGAGACTGAGGCAGGAGGATTATTCCAAATTCCAGGTGAGTCTCAGCTGCATAGGTAAAGCCAGCCTAAATTATAGTACATAGAAAGACCTTGTTTTGAAAAAATGAAAAACACAAAGGCAGGTACAAATAGCATCTCGAGTTTGAGGCCAGCCTGTGCTACATCATGAGACCTTGTTTCAATAAATAAATAAAATGCTGGGCATAGTGGCCCACACCTGAATCCCAGGACTCTAGTAGGCTGAGGCAGAAGAACTGCAAATTTGAGCCTAGACAGCAATTTAGTGATTTAGTGATACCCTGCCCCAAAAACTTCAATTTTTTTTAAGAGTAAAATGTATTGGGGGAAAGGAATGGAAAATAGGAATAGCTTCTGAGAGGCGAGGTCCCAAATGAGTTGCCTCAAAAATATTTTTGAAGGGCTGGGGATGTAGCTCAGCCCAAAAGCCCTGGGTTCAGTCCCCACTACCACTGAATGAATGAACGAATGCATGAATAAACAATCAAAAACAAGCTTCCATCTAGGTCCGGTGGTGCCTGTAATCCCAACACTCAGGAGGCTAAGGTGGAAGGATTGACAGTTTGAGGCCACCCTGGGCTTCATAAGGAATTTGAGCGAAGCCTGGACCGTAGAGCAAGATCCTAAGAAAAAAGCCCAAAACAAAAAAGCTACCACCACCCTCAAAGTGTAGCCATCCTCAGGTTTGAGAGGCTCACAAAGATGAAATGCTGTCCCTTCTGCTCAGGATGCCAACAGCCTGGGACAGCAGTGACAGCTTGCAGGGAAGCTGCAGCACTGTCGCTCACGCTGTCACCAAAGCCCCTGAGAAAACAGGACCAGGAGCTCTGTAGATGGGGAGTGAAAAAAAAATGGGGGTGAGGGGAATGGGCCACCCCCACTGGGGTGCTCCACCTGTAGGGGGCCCTGGGCACACAGTCCACTCTCAGCGCCCACCCCTCGACCGGGGCGAACTCCTGGAGGCTGCCCAGAAGGGGCACTGAGCAGGGTGTGAAGGGGAAGGGCAGGGCAGCCGCTGCCCCGCCCCCACTGTGGCCCAGCCCGGTTTGAGTCTGACAGGGTGAAGTCCCCTTCGGGCTGTCATGGGGGTGTGGGAAGAGGCGGTGGATGTGAATAAAAGCGTGGCCATGTGTCACTTCCATCCTGGGGGAGAAGACCCCCTGAAGAGGCCCGGCTGGTCAGAGGAGGGGTGGTTGTAACCTGTACCCTGAGTCCTGGAGTAAGAACTGTCTAGGACCCAGAGGGCAAAGAGCCCCCGCTGTTCCAGCCCTACTCGGCAGCTGTGTGTTGCGCTAGAGTCCCCGTATCAGCTCATTAGGAACAAACTACACTTCTGCTCCTCAGAACACAAGAAATCAAAAAGTCTACTCCAGGGCCCTGTTCTTATCGCAGCTGGGCGAGTCACAGGACTGACTCAAGGCCGGCCAACGGGTGGAGAGACTCCGGGCCACTACTCCTGCCTTCTGCTTCAAAGTCGCCACCTTGGGGCCCGGGGTGTGGCCCCCTGGCAGAGTGCATGCCTAGCACACATGAGGCCATAGGTTCTCCTCCCAGCACTACGAATAACAGTAATGTCACATCAGCAGCTAGAGTAACACCCAGAGGATGGTTGTGTGCACACAGCCCTGGGTTTTCTGTTTTTGTTTTTTTTGTGTGTTTTTGAGACAGGGTCTCGCTATGCAGTTCAGGCTGGCCTTGAGCTCACTTTGTAGCCCACAGCCTGGGTTTGAATCCCTCCTCCGCTACTTGCTGTGGTTCAGCTCCGCCTCCTGAGCCTTTTTCCCAGTCCCAAATTCCTCTCAGAGGCTGAGCCTGAGGACGTCCACCTCAGCCACCTCCTTTGTTGAGCACCAGGGGTGGCTAGTCAGGTAGGGGAATAAGGAGCACTACACCCCACCCAGCACCCAGAACAAAGCAGGAGGACCCACCCTTCGGTGAAACAGCCTGCAGACTCAGTGGCGCCAGTGGGCCAGAGGGGTGGTGGCTGAGGGGGCTTGGGGCCTCGCTTCCTGTGTGTCCAGAGGGACTGGTAATTGCAAAACCATGCTGGGCTGCAGCTTAGCAGTGTGGGAGCCCATAGGGCGGGCTGGAACACCACAGGGAACAGCTTGGAAGGAAACCCAGGATTATGAAATCACCATATGTCCACCCAGTTGGAGCTTTGGACCTTTCAAAGGACACGCCCTGCACATGCAGGGTGTGCAGGGAATGATTGTGGGGAGCTGCCAAGGGCCCGGCTGGGGAGCAGGGCCCCTCAACCTGGCTGTCTCTATCTGCTGCTTCCTGGGGCCCCCAGCAACCTTTTAAACAAGAGCTGGATGCCTAAGCAGCAAAGGCAGGTGTCTTGCGCTCTCCCACCTCCAACCCTGTGCCTCCCTACCTCTTCCAGGAGAAATGTCGGGAGGGTCAGTGGGGCTACACCGTACAGCTCACTTGTCTCCCATACCTGAGCAGGTGCAGTTTTCCTTGTTTTGTTTTGTTTATGTTTTGAGGATCTCACTGTGTAGTTTAGACCAGCCCAGGCTGGTCTCAAATTTGTAGTAAGCCTCCTGCTTCAGCCTCCCAAATGCTGGGATAAACAGGTGTCCACCACTGAGCCCGGCCTCAGTTCTCCTTTATATACCAAAAAACAGTGTCCAGAGAGAGGGGAAGGGACTTGGTTGAGGGCATACATCTCTGGCACAGTGGACAGGGCTGCAGGACCCCACTGCCAGCCTCCCACTCATTGACTCCCTGGGGTGGGAGAGGGGACCATGCTGTGAGTGGCCCCAGGCAGGTCAGGCAGCTGTCAGCTGTTTCTAAGGCCCAAGTTGGGACACTCTCAGCTGCCCACTGGAGGCTGAATGCCTGTGTCTTGGAAAGGGGACCCAGAGACCTGAACTCAGGAGGCCTAAGATGTGGCCACGGAGATTACAGACCCCTAAGCCTTCTCCGGACCCACGGGCTGATACTGGGAGTCCAAACACCAGGGCTCCCCACAGTTTATCTGCATTGGCTCTCCAGGTCTATCCCTGTCCCAGCCCCCTTCCTCCTATCTAAGTTTCTCCTTTTTTTTGCAACTTCTTTTTTTTTTTTTGTCTTTTTGAGACAGGGTCTCGCTATGCAGTTCAGGCTGGCCTTGAGCTCACTTTGTAGCCTAGGCTGGCCTCAAATTCACAACGATTATCCTGCCTCAGCCTCCTAAGTGCTGGGATTACAGGCATGCGCCACCACGCCCGGCTTTCTGGCAACTTCTGTGTCTCTCTGCTAGGCTGGGGTCACTGAACTGATGGCTTTGTTCTTTCCACCCAAGGCACTGCTGCCAGGCACTGATCTAGGCCAGGGTGCAGACGAAGGGCAGGAGCTCAGAGCTGGCACTACACTGCCTCCTGGCCTCAGCATATTTAATCTGCAAAGGGGAAGGGAGGGTAATTATAACCCTCCTGGCAAGCAGGGCTCTTGTGGAGATAAGAGGCCTGAAGTCACTTTGAAATGCCAAGAAATATCTAAGAATGTCAGGTGATGTCACCATAACCTCTTCCCCAGGGGTGGGGCAGGACTGGGGCCAGTACCTCCACACCACAAGCCCTGGGGAGGGGAGTGGCAGCTCCTTCCCAGACCTGGCTGAACCTCTGGGAAGCAGTGAGCATGGACAGGAGGCATTCAAATGTGGGCACCATGGAAAGAGGGAAAAAAACAGTGGCCCAGCTGCTCAGACTGGCTGGGGCCAAGGCTCTGACGAGGAGAAACATTTATCCACCAACATTTGCTGAGCTGGGCTCTGGGGCCCTGGGGCACAGCACGCACAGGATCAGAGAACAGATGTGCCAGGCACTGTCGACGCTGGAGGCCGGGCTGCCTGTTCAGGTTGGAACAGGATCAGGCTGACAGTAGGCCTGTAAAGACTTTCTGATATTGGAGACACACAGGCATGAGCAGGGAGACGTCCTGGGCGTTTTTTACAGGCAAGGAAACCGAGGCTTGCAAAAACAGGGTGACAAAGCTAGCATAAGAGCAAGATGAACTGAGTGCACGAGAGGCAGAAGTGTTTAGTGTCAATCCAACCCTGCCCCAGACCACCCTAGGCCTCGGGACTCGGTTTCCCTTCTGGGGTAGTGATGGAGAATGGATTTTCCGGGCATTCAACAGCAAAGAATTAAGATTGCCCCAAATTACATGGTGACCTGTGGCCTCGCCAGTTGGCCCTTGACTGCTGACCGCTGAGGCTGTGGCGGGTTGAGCAGAGGATCAGGGCGTCCAAGTGGGCAGCGAGGAGCGCCCCATCTTCCTGCCCAGCCCCTCTCCCGGTCTTCAGCGGAGGAGCTCCAGTCCTCAGCGCCTGCTTCTCCTCTGGTCTCTGGCGCCCCCCTGCGGCCTCTTCCTACCTCCCATGACCCAGCTCCCGCGCGGCTGCGCAAGGAGGGCTCACTGAAAGGCCCAGAAGAAACTCGAGAGGCTTCGATCAAACCTTCCAAACTCCTGCTTGCCACCTTCCCCCTTCCCGAGACCAGAGGCAGTGACAAAGATCCCCAGATCTGAGCTTGAACCCTGGCTCCCCTTTTTGGCCTGACAGACTTGGCAAACAACCCGACTGCTTCCCCAGGTCCTAGATCCCGAGCCTAGGGGAGCCACAGGGTAGCGTTGCTGCGGAGATCTCCAAACAAGGAGAAACCTTGTTTGCTGCCGGGGCTGTCCGTTTCGCTCTGCAAACGTTCACAGAGCGCCCCCTCCTTGCACACGGGGAATGTGACCCTGCCCTGGCTCTAGTTAACCATCTTCAGAGGGGAACAAAACCTCCAAAGAGGTTACTGAAAGAATGTGTGCTGTCTAAAGTCACTCATGTCTCTCCTTTTAATTTCTCTTCTTGGACGGACCCATAGTCGCATGGCGTCGCGTCCAGCCCAGCTGCACACAGCTGGGCAGAAATCAGAAATATCCTAGAATAGAGTAGTCCCCACCCCCCGCAGCCCTCGCCCCGGCGCAGGCCTCTCAGGCCCTTCACATTCCAAGTCAGGCGCTGGCCCTGCCCCCACCATGCTGAAAGGGCCGCGGTGGAGGTAGCTGCCTGCACCAGGGTCTAACTTCGGAGTCCCCTCACCCTTCGATTCACCTGTGTCCTTCCAAGCCTCAGTGTGCCCATCTGCCAAATAGGTGGGACTATCCCTACCCCTCCTCAGGTCAGCTGTAACGATACAAAAAGTCACAGCAGCAGTTTGGCCAGAGCAGGGACGGGGAGGGTGGGGTTTGCCCAGCGCGGCGGACAAACCCGGGAGGAGCGAACTACAACTCCCTTCGGGCTTCCGGCCGGCGGCCGTCCCCAGCCCCTCTCCCAGGGCCAAGGGGAAGGGGACTGCAGTTAGGAGCGGCAGGGAGTAGTCCGCGATGCGTGCTCCACCTAGGTTAGGGTCCCGAAGGTGTCCCTGTAGCGCTGCGGGCCGGGGCACACACCACCCCGGGATCCGGGAAAGTCTTCGGGACCCCAGCCCCGCCTGGCCCAGGAGTCACTCCCCGAGGCCCGCCCCCCCACTTCCTGGCCAGGGTTGGCCCCGCCCCCACGCGCCTCCACCCTCCCACCTTCCTTCAGTCGCCGATCCCATTGGCCGGAGCGCACCTGCCCGTCCGTCGGGGGGCGGGGTGGAAGGCAGAGGGCGGGGCGCGGCGCCCAGGTGTGCGCGCGCGGGCGCGGCTGAGGAAGGTGACAGCGGGGAGGGCGGGACGGTGGGGGGAGGCTGTGAGGACTGAGCCTCGGACGAACGGACGGACGGACGGACGGACCGACAGACGGACTTACCGGCAGACATGCGGGCGGCCCAGCTCTAGCCCGGGCGCGGAACTCGGTGCAGCCATGGAGCAGCGGCTGCGCGCTCTGGAGCAGCTGACTCGGGGCGAGGCCGGCGGGGGCCCGGGGCTCGACGGCCTCCTCGATCTGCTCTTGGGGCTGCACCACGAGCTCAGCAGCGCCCCCCTGCGTCGGGAGCGCAATGTGGCGCAGTTCCTGAGCTGGGGTAAGTGGCCTTGGCAGAACGCGGGTGGGAGTTAGGGTCCCGATTCCCGATTCCCGGACCCGAACCCTCCGCGCTCCACTTCCTCACAGGCTCTGGCAGAGACGCAACACCCTCAGAAACTCCTCTCACTGTGGGCTCCCACACCTGCCGCCCGACCCTGGGGCCTGCACACCCACCTGCACACTTCTTGCGCACGCCCCTTTCCACTCCCAGAGCCCTGCACATGTACGTGACACCCGCAGACACACACAGACTTACTCCCAGATGTGGATCCCAGACGTATGTGTCCAGTACACTCCTCCACAACGTCATGTACAGGATTTCCCAGTCACAGGTCACATCTTGCTCCCCCGCAGAACACACACACACACAGAGACCCCCTGCGTGTCACACAGACTCAGATTTCCTCAGACCTTACTGACACAGAGACACAGAGACAAGGCCCAGGGGAGCTCTAACTTCCCCCTGCAGGCCATCCCGCCCCTCTAGCTTTGCTACAGGTAACTCCCGGTGCGTGGGTACTGGCTTTTGCAGACAGCCCTACACCCTGCGTAGAGGTCCACCCCAGCCCCAGCTGGGAGCCAAGCTCAGCCTTTTTGTGCAAGCTGCTGGCCTGGCTTCCTGACAGGGCCAGGGAGGGTCCTGGTTGGGGGTGGGTCTGTACTCTTTCCTGGTTGACTCATAGCAGTCACTGGGAGTGGCTGGCCTGGTGTGACCCTGAACCCAGTGTGGGCACTGGCGCCAGCCCAAGGGTTCCCTGGTCACACCTGGCTGGGCCATGGGAGGAGAACACAGGTATCCAGCCTGGAGGATGGGGAGAGGTAGGTTGTTTGCCCAGTGGACAACTGGTGCTCCTGGTGCTGCTGAGCTGTAGGCAGGCCCTGGCACAGTTGGGAGCCAGCCACCCAGACCAGCCGGCAGGTTGGCCCCTAGCCCAGGGATGAGAGCAGTCACAGGCCCTGCCTTTGTTGCCTGCCTGTCTTCTTGGGACTCCTGTGTATTATGTGTGTATGTCTGTGTTGTCACCCCCCACTCCCGGTAATGTCTGCACCCACGTGAGTGTTTGCACACACGTGTGTACTCCTCCCTGCCTGCCTCTGGCACCTCTGCCTGGGACCTCGGTGTGGGGGCCGTCTGTTGACATCTCCTGAGGTAACTCCTAGGGCGTGACTCACTCCTCTCCTGTCCCAACTTGTCCTGGCTCCTTCCCAGAGCCCCTATCCCCTGTGGCAAGGCCCGGGCCCTGGGCACCCTGTCACGGGCCCTGGATCCTCCTGGTTCTGGGCCCCAGGTCTTGACCCATCTGGCCAGTGGGTCACTGCCCTGGCCTCAGTTTCTCTCTGGAAGCCTGTGGCTGCTCCTTCCCCTCTTCATACTCGGACCTGGGAAAGAAACAATTAATATCTGTAATGAGGTTTCCACACCACCCCCGCTGCAGGGGTTCTGCCTGATAAACCTGTGGAGCAGCTCTCTGTCCTACCCACAGGCCCGCCCAGCTGCAAGGGAGTTTACCTCTTGGCAGGGGGAAACTGAGGCAAGGTGCCAGGCCATAGCTGCCCCCAGTCCTCACTGGCCATTCCTGCCTCTCTCTGTTCCCAAGAGTTAATTCCTTTCCCCCTGACCTGTGACTCCTCTAGACTTGGGCAGGGCCAGGGAGTGGCTGGAGATGCGCTTTGCGGAGGTTTCAGAGACTGATGCAAGAAAAGGCTCCTGGCCAGGCACAAGAAAGGGAGGCAGGGCTCTTGAGTGGCAGGGCTGTCAGGCCTGGAGGGCATCCTGAGTGCTCACGCCCTCAGGTGCTGGCATCAGGCACCAGGTAAAGGTTTTTCGCTCTGTTTTGGAGTCTTGTGAGCAGTTGGGCAGACTGGTATTGATGCCTCCAGACCAGGGGCCTCACCCGGGGAGCACAAAGCCTGTCTCCCGGGGCTCTGCAGGACCACTGTCCTCCCTGTCCTCTGGGGGTGCCCGAGGCCTCACCTCCAGGCAGGTACTTCTGCACCTACAGGGTCCTGGGACCCAGGCCCACAACTCCTGAATGGCAGAGAAGCCTCTCTGGGGACAAGGAATGTCACCCATCCAGTTTCCCAAGACAGGCCCTGGCCTGGCCCTGTTAGGGGCCAAGAACCGTGAGGTAGGGGGTTGGGGGTGGGAATGGTATTCTCATCTTCCCCAGGGTGACCTGGCCAGCCAGGATCAAGCCCCAGGCTGGGGAGGACTACAAGTCCCACCAGTCTCTGCAGTGGAGGCTTCATGGAGTCTGGAGCTAGGGGTCTAGGGAGCTTGGGAGCCAGAATCCTCACCTTCCACACTTCCATGTCATAGCTGAATGGGCTCCACTTCTTACTTAGCCCCTTTTCCAGCCCATCCCTGGGGAGGCCGCCTGCTCTGCAGTTGCTGGCTCTTCCAAGGTGAGAGGGAGTTAGGGCCCTCGCTTGAGTGCTCTGAGCCCCAACTCTGTCCCCTCAGCCACCCCATTCATAACAAAGGTGAAAGAGCTGCGCCTGCAGAGAGATGACTTTGAGATCTTGAAGGTGATCGGCCGAGGGGCCTTCGGGGAGGTGAGCAAAGGACCTGGGGCAGGGTGGAAAGGAAGGGGTTAGTGCCTGGCTTAGGCTGACTCCAGCCCTAATGTGGCCTCAGGTCGCCGTGGTGAGACAGAAGGACAGTGGGCAGATTTTTGCCATGAAAATGCTGCACAAATGGGAGATGCTGAAGAGGGCTGAGGTCAGTTTGGGATCTGGTAGAACTTGGGCATCATGCACTGGGGTGGGAGATGCACCACTAGCCAGGTGTAAAAAACTTCAGGTCATAGCAAGACATTGGGCAAAAAAGACCATTGTCAGCAGTTGCCCATCCCTTAGCCCTTCTGCACAAGGGTAAGGAGGTTTGTTCCCATTTTCTTTATGGAAATACTGAGGCCCAGAGCTATAAAGCCTGGGCCCAGGCTCTCCCAAGGCCAACCTGGAACAGAGCAGAGCTGCACCCTCTGAGTCCATAGGCTTAGGAGTCCTCATCCTCTGCGCTGGCCAGGGGTTCCTGGGCTCTGACCCCACCCGCACTTACTCCTTCAAACCTATTGCAGACGGCCTGTTTCCGGGAGGAGCGGGATGTGCTGGTGAAGGGGGACAGCCGTTGGGTGACCACACTGCACTATGCCTTCCAAGACGAGGAATATCTGGTGAGGATACTCGGCAGGGTGGGAGAAACTTTCCTGGAGACAAAGGAGAAGGCCCTTGGCGGCAGGGGCACTGAGGTCTACTGGAATCTAGAGGCCCCCACTTCCTGCCAGCTGCTGGGCCTGGCATCTCCTGCTTGAGCTCTGACTGGAAGCTGGCCAGCCCAGAGCTGTTGGGGGACCCCTCACACACACCGTCCTAGACCCCCACAGGACCACTGAGGTGCGCAGGTGCTCCTTTACCCCGTCTGATGCTTGTCCCCACCCACTGCCCTTTAGTACCTGGTGATGGACTACTATGCTGGCGGGGACCTCCTCACGCTGTTGAGCCGCTTTGAGGACCGTCTTCCGCCTGAACTGGCCCAGTTCTACCTGGCTGAGATGGTGCTGGCCATCAACTCGCTGCACCAGCTGGGCTATGTCCACAGGTGGGCCTCCAAAGCCTCTGCTGTCCGGCTGGCCCCCTGCCGACTGCTCTGGGCATAGCTGCTTGCTGAGTACTTGCCATATGCCCACCCCCATGCAGGGAGCTCATATATGTGCTTCTCTGACCACCCCCTTCCAAAACACCCCGGGTGGTGAGGGTTGCCAGTGCACCCACTTGACAGATGAAAAAATCAGAACTTAGCACAGGTAAGCCTCTCGCTCAGGACAGCCCAGCCAGTTGGAGCTAAGGTCTGCATGGGCACAATCTGATTCCTGTGTCCCTGGCAGCACACTCTTTAGCCCATAGGCTCATCTTTATGGATCTTTTCCACCAGTCTAGCCTCCTTCTTTCTCCCGGCTACCAGCCTGCTCTCCCTGGTGCACGCATGCACTCACATGGCTCATGTGTACACACAGGAACTCCTGAGAGCAGGCGTGCACCTAGAAATGTGCCTTTTTTTGAGACATGGTCTTCCCATGTAACTCAGCCTGGCCTTGAACTCACTATGTAGCCTAGGTTGAATTTTGCATCAGTCCTCCTGCTGCAAGTTCTCAAGTGCTAGGGTTACAGGCATGTGCTAACATGCTCTGTTGGGCACATGCCTAGACATACATCCACATGCAGGGTCGAGCCCCTCATCTCCCTGCCCTCCCCTAGGGATGTCAAGCCAGACAACATCCTGCTGGACATGAATGGGCACATCCGCCTGGCTGACTTTGGCTCCTGTCTGCGACTCAACAATAGTGGCATGGTGAGGACCTTACCTAGAATGGGAACCAGGGACACCAGACAGGCCAAGCTCTCAAGGGGATGAGGGCCACTTAGGGTAGCAGAAGGTGCGTCTGGCCCCAGAAGGCAGCACCAGAGCAGTCCTGCCCCGGAAGTGGAAGTACCAGGCTTGACGTGCAACACCTCTGCCCATAGGTGGACTCATCAGTGGCTGTAGGGACACCAGACTACATCTCCCCTGAGATCCTGCAGGCCATGGAGGAGGGTAAAGGCCACTACGGCCCACAGTGTGACTGGTGGTCACTGGGAGTCTGCGCCTATGAGCTGCTCTTTGGGGAAACGCCTTTCTACGCAGAATCTCTGGTGGAAACCTATGGCAAGATCATGAACCATGAGGTCTGGCCACAGGCTCTGTGGTTCTCAGGAGGGCAGCGGGGCCCTCATGTCTGTGGCTGGAGCTGTCAGCACACACAGCCCCCAGCTGACCACATACTCCCTTTCCTGGCCTGCAGGACCATTTGCAGTTCCCCTCTGACGTGCCTGATGTGCCAGCCAGTGCCCAGGACCTGATCCGCCAGCTGCTGTGCCGCCAAGAGGAGCGGCTGGGCCGTGGTGGGCTAGATGACTTCCGGAATCACCCCTTCTTTGAGGGTGTGGACTGGGAGCAGCTGGCAACCACCACCGCCCCCTACATCCCTGAGCTTCAGGGTCCTGTGGACACCTCCAACTTCGATGTTGATGATGACACCCTCAACCATCCTGTGAGTGGCAGATGCCACTGCAGGAGGTGCCACCCTGTCCTTTGTGGGCTTTAGGAACCTCCAGAAGTCCCTAGAGCAGTTGCTGGGCTGGGGTGAGGCCTGTGGACTCAAGGGGCTCATGAGAGTTGTGGTTCACCTGAGCCAGCTGACCTGCAGTGAGCAGAGTTGTACCAAGCAAAGGCCCTTTGACCCTAGGAGTCATCCTATTAACCAGAATTCATCTAAGGAAGAGAACTCCCAGCAGTCCCTAGGAGACCATACTCTCAAGGGCTCATGGGAGTTGTAGTCCATTTTGGTAGGGGCTGTGTTGTTCTCCTGGGTTCACACCTGAGTGAGCAGAAGGCAACTGTTGGTCTGGTCCCCAGGGAACTCCTGCTTTTTTTTTTTTTTTTTTTTGTCTTTTTGAGATAGGGTCTCGCTATGCAGTTCAGGCTGGCCTTGAGCTCACTTTGTAGCCCAGGCTGGCCTCAAACTCGCCATGATCCTCCTGCCTCAGCCTCCTGAGTGCTGGGATTACAGGCATGCGCCACCATGCCCAGCTTTTTTTTTTTTTTTCCTTTTGAGACAGGGTCTTGCTATGTAGTTCAGGGTGTCCTTGAACTCCTGCAGATCCTCTTCCCTCTGCCTGTTTCTTGAGCCTCACCCTGGAGCCATACCTACTTGGCTGTGACTCTCCTTCCTTCTCCTGCAGGATACTCTACCACCACCCTCCCATGGGTCGTTCTCTGGGCACCACTTGCCATTTGTGGGTTTCACTTATTCCTCTGGCCGGTGAGTCTCGCCCTCATACCTGCTGGGCAACTTGAGGTATAGCCTGTCAGGACCCCAGGAAAGGGGACAGAATGGTTTTCTGGTACCCTCATGTTATCAGTGTTCGGGAGAAGCCATGGCTGTATCTCTAGGTCACATCCCAGCACAGAGCCCTCATAGCACCCTGCACTGCTGTTTCAAAGGCACTGGACTTAGAGTCTGAATGGCTTCTACTGCCCCAAGCCTCAGTCTGTGCCTCTATGAAATGGGCAGGAGGTCCCATTTGTGCAGCCATCCTGAGATGGAAGCAACGGCCTGGCCTCTTGTACTGAAATGGGGGAGTGCTCTGAGCAGCCCTCATCTAAGGGCTACTGCGCTGGGCCCAGCACTAACCCAGGCCTCTCAACAGGCCTTGGAAGAGGCCCTGTTACCACTTCCACTGGTGACTCTCCAAGGCCCAGGCTGTCCTGAAGGCAGGATCTGGTTTGATCTGTTTCTCTACCTGATGCAGAGTCCAGCCCTAGGCCGGGACTTGGGGTGGAGGTGGGGGTCTTGAATAAATGAATGATTGAGTACAGGAGGATAGATGAGGCTTTGTGGGGTGAGCTTCTTCCAACCTGTGTTGCTCCTGCCTTCCCCCAGCCCCAGTCCTGAGAGCAGCTCCAAGCTAGCAGCTTCCCAGGAGCGGAAGCTCCACTATTTGGAGGAGGAGAAGGTGCAGCTGACCTGGGACCACCAAGGTATAAAGGCAGCTGGGGCAGGTCTGTGTGTGGGAGCCCTGGGGCTGCTATTCCAGGCCTGGATACTCACACATGGGACCCCTCAGACCCTCAGGAGCTGGCACAGCTGCAAAAGGAAGTGGAGACCCTAAGGGAGAGGCTGGCAGGTAACCCTTCCCCATCCTGGCATAGCCCATGCAAAGTTTCTCCTGGTCCCAGTGCTGTCCCTCCTCTGTATGTGCTCTGTGACTGTGGGGAGGATTCTCCGAATCTGCCTGTGTAAAATGGGCTGTGGGAAAGGTTCTGTGAGATGCTGCACATGGAGGACCCGGTTGAGACGGGGCAGTCAGTACGCCTGGGTCTCAGTGACTCTTCCTGGCAGAGACGCTGAGGGACAGTAAGGCCTCCTTGTCCCAGATGGATGGGTCCCCTGCTGGTAGCCCAGGCCAAGTCAGTGACCTACAGCAGGAGAAGGACCAGCTCCAGCAGGTAAGGACCAGCTCCCCAGTTAGGCAGGTGGGTGGCCCAGGACGCCATGTCACAGAGACTGAGCAGGCCTTGTCCTCTGCACCCTGGATACTCAGGAGCTGGCTGAGGCTCGGGCAGGGCTGCAGGCACAGGCACGGGAGCTGTGCCGAGCCCAGAGCCTGCAGGAGGAGCTGCTGCTGAAGCTGCAGGAGGCCCAGGAGAAAGAGACGGCCACAGCCAGCCAGATCCAGGCCCTGAGCTCCCAGGTGGAGGAAGTCTGGGATGCCAGGAGAGAGGTAAGTGGTGGGAGTGGGAGGGGAGGGGAGAGCAGCTGAGCCCAGCACCTATGATGCCCAGCATGGCTAGAGGAAGCCTGGGGAGCCTAAGGTTCTGGGGACACTATGTGCCCTTGCACCTCCCATGCGGTTGGTGGAGACTGACCCAGGACATTGTGGCAGGCAAGGGGCATCTGGGAGCCCACTGTAGCTGTCAGATCCTGCAGGTCTGTGGCAGAGTGGGGCAGAGAGGTTGGGGTGCACAAAGTCACACTGGCCTGCCTCTGCACCCTGTCATAGTTGGAGACCCAGGTGGCCACCTTGAACCAGGAGGTGACGAGGCTCCGGGGACAACAAGAGCAAAGCCTTGAGAAGGAGTCCTCACAGACCAAGGTAGTGAGGTCTCACAGCCTGACCCCAGAATCCCCCCAGGGCCAGGCCTATATCCTTGCATGGGGTGATTTGTTAGGCCCTGCCCTGACCCCTCTGCACATCCTTAAGACCATCCATGTGGCCTCTGAGACCAACGGCACTGGACCATCCGAAGGGAGCCTTCATGAGGCCCAGCTCCTCATGGAGGTGGCCACCCTGAGGGAGCAGCTAAAACAGGCTTGCAGCTATGGGTAAGCAGGCAGCAGGGATGGCAGGATGGGGCCAGATCGCCTGGGCTATACCAGCACCATCACCGCCACCATGACCACCACAGCCTTGGCCTTCTGCTGCCCAGGTCCAGTGGGAAGGAGGAGGCTCTGTGCCGTCTTCGGGAGGAAAACCAGAGGCTGAGCCGGGAGCAGGAGCGGGTAAGCAGGGTGGATGGCAGAGCACTGGTAGCAGACAGGCAAGGGACAGGTAGGGTACTGGCAGGGCAGGTGGACAGGGCTGCTGGGGTCCTGGCTGGCTGGAGCAGGTGAGAAGGGTGGAGACATAGGTGGGACTCAGGTTGATGGAGTATCTGAGGGGAGACTGGCAGGGTTTGGGTGCCTGGTGGACGGCCCAGCTGCAGAACTACCTGGGGACTGAGCCCACCTTCCACCTGGCCCCCAGCTGGCCGAAGAGCTGGAGCAGGAACTGCAGAGCAAGCAGCGGCTGGAAGGCGAGCGGCGGGAGACCGAGAGCAACTGGGAGGCCCAGATCGCAGACATCCTCAGTTGGTGGGTGCTGCCAGGCTGGGGAGGGGACCTGGGCAAGTCTGGGTGCCTGGCCCTTGACCCTGAGCCCCTTCGCAACAGGGTGAATGATGAGAAGGTCTCGCGAGGCTACTTGCAGGCCCTGGCCACCAAGATGGCTGAGGAGCTAGAGTCCTTGCGGAACGTGGGCACCCAGACAATCACCACCCGGCCTCTGGTAAGCCTCAGATTTACCCTGGGTGGGAGTGGGGCCTGGCAGAGCAAGGCTGGGCCTGGCCCAGTGGCATGGGCAGCAGCATGCATGCGCTGGTGGGCGGGAGTTTCCAGAGCAGTCAGGCCCAGAGCGCAGCTTATGGGGTGCCTGGTGGCCAACAGGACCACCAGTGGAAGGCGCGACGTCTGCAGAAGATGGAGGCCTCGGCGCGGCTGGAGCTGCAGTCGGCGCTGGATGCTGAGATCCGAGCCAAGCAGGGGCTGCAGGAGCGGCTGACGCAGGTGCAGGAGGCCCAGCTGCAGGCCGAGCGGTGAGGCTGGAGGCATGTGCTGCAGGCCTGGGTCCCATGCAGAGGCCTGTGGCAAGCCCTTGTCCCCTCCCCGACAGGCGCCTGGAGGAGGCTGAGAAGCAGAACCAGGCCCTGCAGCAGGAGCTGGCTGTGTTAAGGGAGGAGCTGCGGGCCCGTGGGCCAGGGGGTGAGTGGCCAGGGCTCCTAAGCAGAGCCAGTGTCCTGCTCCAGCCTTGCCCTGCACCGTGCCTCAGCTGAGCATCTGCTGTGTGCCAGGCCCTCCTCACCCCATAGCTACGGCCACTTCCACTTTCACTGAGGGCGGACCTGAGGCTCCTGCTGCTCTTGGTTCCTCAGGCCAGGGACCTCACCCTGAGAGACCCATGCTTTCTGTTCGCAGACACCAAGCCCTCAAACTCCCTCATCCCCTTCCTGTCCTTCTGGACCACAGAGGTGAGAATCAGGTGGAGGGGCTGGCGGGGGAGGAGTCGTGGGGAGAGGCACAGGGACCTTCACTTTGTCCCTTCCTGTCTCATCCCCAGAAGGATTCTGCTAAGGACTCTGGGATCTCAGGAGAAACTCCAAAGCCTGGGGTAGAGCCAGAGCTGAGGCCAGAGGGCCGCCGCAGCCTGCGCATGGGGGTGAGCACAGGCAGGAGCCCCGGAGTTATGAGCTGGGTGCTCTACACCCCACCCTTCTCATCTGCTCCCTCGCCCTCCTACAGGCTGTGTTCCCCTGGGTGCCTGCTGTCACTGCCACCCCTGCAGAAGCCCTTCCTGCTAAGGTCAGTGCCAAGGGGCGAGTAGGGTGGGAGCACTGAGCCATTGTGCTGGTGTCCCTGGACCTGCCGGGGACCCTCCACGGGCATCATGACTGGCAGCCCAAGTTTGGGGTAGCAGTGATGGCAGCAGTGGGTTTGCTTCTGTAGACATTCTGGGGCTCAGATATGGCAGCCGTCTGGCTCAGCCACTTGCCCGCCTGACCCTGCCCATGCGGGTGATGGCATGTACCCCTCCACAGCCCGGCTCGCACACTCTGCGCCCGCGGAGCTTTCCAACCCCCACCAAGTGTCTCCGTTGCACCTCGCTGATGCTGGGCCTGGGCCGCCAAGGCCTGGGCTGTGATGGTGAGAATCCCCCCCACCACACACCTGCCTCCTTTATTTCAGCCACAGCTCCTGCATGTACCCCGACATACACAGGCTGTGCCTCCTGGTCTAATTTCCCCCTCTCAGTTTTTTTTCCCACTTGTGGGCAGATGATAACAGCTCAGGGGCCACTGTGACCTCCAGGGAACTGGAGCCGGAAAGCCTCAGATCCTGGCTTAGTCACACCATTCATTTTCTCTGCTTTCCCTACAGCCTGCGGTTTCTTCTGTCACTCAGCCTGTGCCCCACAGGCCCCACCCTGCCCCGTGCCCCCCGACCTCCTCCGCACGGCCCTGGGAGTACACCCTGAAACAGGCACAGGCACTGCCTATGAGGGCTTCCTGTCGGTGAGCAGGGGCTGGGGAGCAGAGAGGGGGCCGTGGGGGCTGAGGGCCTGGGCAGCCTTCCCATGCCTGCCTCACCCAGGTGCCGCGCCCCTCCGGTGTCCGGCGAGGCTGGCAGCGGGTGTATGCTGCCCTCAGTGACTCACGCCTACTGCTATTTGATGCCCCTGACCCGCGGGCCAGCCCAGCTAGCGCTGCCCTCCTGCAGGCCTTGGACCTGAGGTGGGTGTGGGCAGGGGCATGGGCCAAGTGACCAGTGGGTGAGAGGGGCAGCCAGGGACAGTACAACCTCTGACTGTTCCCTGCACCTTCCAGAGATCCCCAGTTCTCTGCCATCCCTGTCCTGGCCTCTGATGTTATCCACGCCCAGTCCAGGGATTTGCCGCGCATCTTTAGGGTGAGTGTTCTAGGCAGGATAGACCCAACCGTCCTCCATCTCCTCTGCATCCCCACTGCAGCCACTACTGATGGCCATGGCTGAACATGGCCCACGCCTTCACCTTCACATGGACACCATAGTAGACCCCATCCTGCAGCCAGCATCAGCTTGCCACAGGAATCTGGCTGGGTTCTGCCTTGTTTGGGGGCCTTGTACGGCTTCCCAGCACCATCATGAGGCTCCTGACGAGGCTGTGAGGCCCCACAGATCTGGCCCCATGGGGAGCCCCAGCCCCTCCATGCTGGTGTCCCTCTCTGCTCTGGCCACATCTTGCTCCCTCCAGTTCCCAGAGTCCCTGGCACCTGTGCACACCTCCTTTGCAGTGTCAGGTTCTCCCCTCTGCACAGAGCTGCCTGTGCCAGCCCCATCCCTCACCCACACTGACTTTCTCCTGGTGCTCATCCCCTGAGCAGTCGTTCTTCACCTCTTGGCCTGGCTTAGGAGAAGGAGGCTTAGGAGCCTACTCTGTGTTCCAGTCCCTGTCCTTGCCCTGCTGTGCTGCAGTTTTCGGGGCTCTGGATGTGGCCATGTACTTGTCTGAGCGCCCTGTCTGACTTATCCCCTGCTGGAGGCTGTGCCTAGCACTATACCTGGCAAACACACACTCAGTGGTAGTGGGCATCCGCTGGTGGAAGGAAGGAAAGAAGGATGGATAGCTCTCGGCCCACAGCCCTCCAACCTGGGTCCCTGCCCACAGGTGACAGCCTCCCAGCTGACGGTGCCGCCGACCACGTGTACTGTGCTGCTGCTGGCAGACAGTGAGGGGGAGCGTGAGCGCTGGCTTCAGGTGCTGGGTGAGCTGCAGCGGCTGTTGCTGGAGTCGAGGCCGAGGCCCCGGCCTGTGTACACGCTCAAGGAGGCCTATGACAATGGGCTGCCTCTGCTGCCCCATGCGCTGTGCGCCGCTGTCATTGGTGAGCCTGGGGCAGAGGGTGCCACTCGGAGCAGGCTGGTGAAGTCCAGGGGACTTTTTCAGGGAGGGACTGGCACAAACACAGCGGTGAAAGCCACTGCGAGGGGCCGTTGCCTGCAGCCTTGAGCTAGGATTCTGCCTTGCACGCGTACCCTCATGACACATCCCTCCACTAGGGTGTGTGAAAAGCCAGGTCACCAGGCACCTGGCTTTTCCACTGTGTCTTTCTGTCGAAGGTTCTGCTTTACCTGAAAGGTTTTCATGTGAGTAGAGGGAGCAAAGGCTTTATAAAGGAACAAGTCAGAGGCTCAGTCCTACTGCTTTTTTTTTTTTTTTTGGTCTTTTTTGAGACAGGGTCATGCGTGCAGTTCAGGCTGGCCTTGAGCTCACTTTGTAGCACAGGCTGGCCTTGAACTCGCAAGGGTCCTCCTCCCTCAGCCTCCCGAGTGCTGGGATTACAGGCGTGTGCCACCATGCCCAGTTTAGTCCTGCTGTCTTACAGCAGCTGGTGACCATGGGGGAGCAGTGGGAGCCTGGGCCCCCCATAATTTTGTTTTTTTGTTTTTCTTCCGGGACCGGGAATCGAACTCATGACCTCGCACTTGCCAGGCAGGCGCTGTGCCGCTGAGCTAAATCCCCAGCCCTGGCCCCTCATAATTGACAGCAGGAAAAGGCAGATGAACCAGAGCTCTTTGGCTTTGCATAGCAGCTGAGGCCCTGAGCCAGCTCCAGCCCTGCAGTCATTCAGCAGGAGCCACAGGAGAGACTGTGTGGGTCCCCTGGGTCATTTGGGAGCCAGACAGGACAATGTTGTCTATTGAGTAACTGGTTCTGCTCTGCACTCACCTTGCACTACTTCATCTCTTTCTCCCCACAGCTGTGCCCTCAGTTTACATAAGGGGAAAATGAGGCTTTAGGCTGTGACATGCGGTACCCAGAATCCCACAGGGAGATGGCGGGCCTCTCACCCTGACCTCTGCCACTGCGGACCTTCCCCGTTAGAGCTTGTCCATGCTATGGGAGAGAAGGGCCCAGTGACAGGGGAGACTGTATAAGATCACCATCCCCATGGCCTCAAGAAAGTCAGGCTCAGGCCAGGTATGATAGTGTACACCTATAATCCCAGCACTCAAGAGGCTGAGGCAGAAGGATCACTGTGAGTTCAAGGCCAGCCTGGGCTACATAGTGAGTTCAAGGCCACCCTGAACTATATAGTGAGATCCTGTCTCAAATAACCAAAAAGAGAGAGAGAGGGAGAATCAGGCTCAGCAAGGGCAGGTGGATGCTGGACTGGGCTTCTGACCCTTGACCTTCTACCCTCTGCTACCCTCTCCCAGACCAGGAGCGGCTTGCCCTGGGCACCGAGGAGGGGCTGTTTGTGATCCACCTGCACAGCAATGGTACATGCAAGGCTGGGCAGGGTGGGCGTGGGTGGCTCAGTTGCAGTGGATAGAGGGTATGGTCTGGGTGGGTTCTCACCCACCTGTTCCTCTCTCCTCTCAACCCTGCAGACATCTTCCAGGTAGGGGAGTGCCGCCGAGTGCAACAGCTGGCCCTGAGTCCCTCTGCGGGCCTGCTGGTTGTGCTGTGTGGCCGTGGCCCTAGTGTGCGCCTCTTTGCCTTGGCTGAGCTGGAGAGCACGGAGGCGGCGGGGGCCAAGATCCCTGAGTCTCGAGGCTGCCAGGTGCTGGCAGCTGGGCGCATCCTGCAGGCTCGAACCCCTGTGCTCTGCGTGGCTGTCAAACGCCAGGTTCTCTGCTACCAACTGGGCCCAGGACCAGGGCCCTGGCAGCGTCGCATCCGGGAACTGCAGGCACCCGCACCTGTGCAGAGCCTGGGGCTACTGGGTGACCGCCTGTGTGTGGGTGCAGCTGGTGCCTTTGCTCTCTACCCATTGCTCAATGAAGCCGCGCCCTTAGCCCTGGGGGCTGGCCTCGCACCTGAGGAGCAGCCACCATCCCGAGGGGGCCTGGGCGAGGCCCTGGGTGCCGTGGAACTCAGCCTCAATGAGCTCCTCCTACTGTTCACTACTGCTGGTGTCTACGTGGACAGCGCCGGTCGCAAGTCACGCAGCCATGAGCTGTTGTGGCCAGTGGCACCCATCGGCTGGGGTAAGGCCGGTGAAGTCCGGGCTGGGTAGCACCAGGCCCTGTGGTGTGTCAGAGGAAGCCCAGGTCCCGCCCAAACTTCAGAGATTGGCACCTCCTGTTCTGCCCAGGTGGTTTGCCTGGGACCTTCCTCTCCTGTTCCTTTGCTTCTGTTCTCCCCCTGCTTGAGCTGTCCTCCTTTGTCCATATCCAATGGCAGTGCAGGCCCCAGAGCTAGAAGTCACTCCACAAATGACCACCATGATTGTCATCACCATTACTGCTCTCATGGTCCTTGCGCTGCCAGCCCCTATCGCTGGTCCTTTGCTTCTCTTTGCTTCCCCACCTCTTTGTTCAGACCTCTGTCCTGGCTCTTATCACCCACGTTATGGCGGGTTTGGTGCGCCGGGGGCCTGCAGAATGGGTTGGGGCTGGTTTCTTTTTTTACATCCTATACCAAGCCCAGGCACGCACACCCTAGGGGCTGTGTCTGTTTGGAGGGACAAATGAGTGAATGTGGTAGCAGGGGGGTCTCGTACCTGGTGTGATGGGGTTAGGGCTACAGGAAAGAGAGCTTCCTTCAGGGAGGGTGGTTCTTTTGGAGTAGGGCCTGTGGGTTTGGTGTGGTGTTGTAGGTGTTGCACCCAGACTTCTAAGGCCAAATCCCATCTGCCCCTCACCAGCTGGGTGATTATTCCTTGGCTCTGGGGTCTCCATTTCCTTCTCTGCAAATTAGGGGTGATAGCAGTAGTACCCACTTAGAGTTGCTAGAGAATTAAGGGAGAACAAACACACCAAGTGTTTGGCACTGTGTGGGTGTGTGGCTGGGACACAGGGTTGTTAGCTCATTGTTACGGAGTCGGGTGGAGCAGCCGGGAGAGTCTACAGAGGAAAGGCTTCGGCTGGGTGTGGCAGTCTTTGTGCTGTGAGGGGACACAGGAGGAACAAAAGGGGAAACGAACTCAGAGAGGTACCTACTTTGCCCGGGCTGCACCACACAGCAGCTTCCCCTTCCCCGCCTGCAGGTTATACAGCCCCCTACCTGACAGTGTTCAGCGAGAACTCCATTGACGTGTTTGACGTGAGGAGAGCAGAATGGGTGCAGACTGTGCCGCTCAAGAAGGTGAAGGCCTGCCCAGATCCCTGGGGCCGCCCTGGGGTGGGCTTGGGCAGCACGGTCTCACCTCTGTGCCTGCTGTCCCAGGTGCGGCCTCTGAATCCAGCGGGCTCCCTGTTTCTCTATGGCACCGAGAAGGTCCGCCTGACCTACCTCAGGAACCGGCTGGCAGGTAAGGGAGTGTGCGAGCTTAGGTGTGTGTGTGCACTTGAGTGTGATCACCTACACGCATGTGGCTGTGCGACCCAGAGGACCAGCTTCCGGGCGCTGCAAACTTGTGAGGATCCCCAGCTCTCTGTTTCTCCTGCAGAAAAGGACGAGTTCGATATTCCCGACCTCACAGACAACAGCCGACGCCAGCTGTTTCGCACCAAGAGCAAACGCCGGTTCTTCTTCCGCGTGTCAGACGAGCAACGGCAGCAGCAGCGCAGGTGAGCATGCGCAGTGTGGCAGCAGGGGCTGGGCGGGGCCTCCCGCCTAGGGTGGAGGCGACCTTCCGGAGAGAGTCCGGGAGGCGTCGCCTTGGTTTCCCTGTTCCTTAATACCCGCGCTGCCCGCAGGGAGATGCTGAAGGACCCCTTTGTACGCTCCAAGCTCATCTCACCGCCCACCAACTTCAACCATCTGGTGCATATGGGGCCTACTGACGGGCGGCCGAGCGCCAGAGTGAGTCCCACAGAGCCAATCGCTGGCCTCCTTGGTGCGCGGGAGCCAATCACAAGATCCCTGGTGCTCGCGAGCCAATCACCGGCTTTTGTGGTTAGCTGGCCGCCTTGAGGCGGGTGGCCGGTCCCCCTGATAAATTTCATTGACCTGGTCTGTCCGGCTTCCGAGTCCCAGACCCTGTGCCCCTTCCCAGACTCTGTGCACTGTTCCCCAACAGGCTCTGGGAGAGAAGGCCCGACGTGCCCGTGGCTCCGGCCCACAGCGGCCCCACAGCTTCTCAGAGGCTTCGCGGCTCCCAACGTCCATGGGCAGTGACAGCCTCCCTAGAGACGCAGACTCGAGTAAGGGTACCCCCACAGCCTCCAAGACTCCGCGCCTAGCCCCAGGTCCCCACTCCTTTCGGATCCCTCATGTGTGATCTAGGCATTTGTTTTGTTTTGTTTTGGTTTTGGTTTTGGTTTTTTTTCCGGTACCGGGAATCGAACTCATGACCTCGCGTTTGCCAGGCAAGCGCTGTGTCCCTGAGCTAAATTCCCAGCCCGACCTAGGCATTTTGTTCACCCATCCCGCTCCTGCAGCAGTGAAGAGGAAACCTTGGACATCTCTGTCCAGCGAATCAGTGTCCTGTCCCCAGGGGCCTCTGAGCCCTGCGGCCTCCCTGACAAAGGTGAGCCACGGGAGGGGGGGGCTTTGTCCTCGCCCATCCTTGGGGCAGGCAGTCCTGTCTGAGGCCACCTGCCCTCTGCACAGTCTGCCTCATCCCTTGCAGGCAGGTGTGGCGGGACTCTGGGTTCTGACTGTTCTAGAGCTGATCTCACCTATAAAACGAGGTGGTGCTCGGGCGGGGAGGGCTCAGCACAGTGCATGACACATGAGAGCAGTGCCCCAAGAGAGGAGCCCTAGAGGATGTCCACAACCTGCTTCGGTGGTAGGGCGGGAATCCAGGGCCTTGGGAGTGCTAGGCAAGTGCTCTGCTACAGAGTGACACCCCCAGCCCCTGCGGGTCTTAACAGAGGCCCAGACAGTGGATTGGGGCAGCAATCAGGATGGAGCCATCCATTCTGCCTGGGAAAGGGGAAGACCTGAGAATAGCTGAAAAGGTCCCATCACCCTCCAGCCAAGTCCCCAGCGGCCCCCACAGCTGCCTCCAGCACATACCCAGAACCAACCCCCTCCTTCCAATGACCTCCGTCTTCAACCTGATTGGCCCCCAGGCTGCCGGGACACCACTGTCACCTTCAAAGAAATGTTCCTGGCCACCTGGTCAGGTGGTCACCATGTCTCCTGCTGTGCTGTGGCTTTCTTCTGGGTGCCTGTCCTCTTTACTTACCTGCTTGAGGTCAAGGCTCCTTGAGGTCAAGGGTCAGGTTTCACTCTGACTAGAGTAAAGCATGTTTGTTGACTGAATCCAGAATGGAGCGAGTGAACAGGGCCGTGGGGTCCTTCACAGCTCAGTAGGTGTTCATTCTCCAAGGACCCAGCTCCCCCAACCCCACAGCACTCATCCTTCCTCCAACGGCCTGGGTGTCAGGAAGGCATCTGGGTGGCACGGCCTCGTGACAGTAGAGTCCTCCCTGCTCCTCCTACCTGATTTCCTCTCCTCTCCCTTCTAGGTCTCAGAGCGGCCCCGGAGCCTCCCTGCAGCCCCGGAGTCAGAGAGCTCCCTGTGACACCCGCTGGCAGGGCCCACCCCATACCAGGACAGAAAGACATGAGAGAACAAAGAGCTTGAGGCGCGCCATACCCCGGCTGGCCGGGACATGTGAACACACTCGGACTCAGGGAGGGTCTGGGTGGGGCGGTGCCTGGGAGGCTGGCCTGGGTTCCTAGGAGTAGGGGTCCTGTTACCAGTCTTCATCCCCCCTTTCCCTCGGCTCCTATCCCAGCCTGTGCTGGCCACTGGGGAGAGAATAGCCCTGGTGCCCAGGGTTAATTGTGCCAAAGCTCTTCGTCCCAGTGCCAAGCCCTGGGAAGCTTGTAAGCACTGGGACAAGGGACAGAAGGAGGACAGGGTCCCTAGAGCAGGCAGGGGTCCTGTTTGCACACGGGCTGACCCCTGGCAGAGGCTGAGATGGGGCATGTCAGAGTGTCTGCTGGAGGTCAGAGTGGGAAAGACAGGTACTTTTTTTTTTTTAAAGGAAAGATTGATTGAGAGGAAAGGACAGAAAAGGAGGAGGAACGAAGTAAGTGAAGGAGGCGAGAGGGAGGCGAAGGGGAGGAGGAGGTGGTAGTGACTGGCAGGAGAAGCTGTCCAGAGGAGGAGAGGGGTAAAGAGGAGCCGTGAGGAAGAGGAGAGAGCGACAAGAGGGAAGGGGTAGGGAAGAGAGCTGGCAGAGAACCCAGACTGGGGCTCCTTTCTCTGGAGAGGGCTTGGTGGGATTGGGAGCAGGACTGACTCTGTCAGCGACTCTGCCAGGGAAGACAAGTTCTAGGCAGGGATGGGATGGGGGGTATTTATACAGGCTTCTCGATGGGAGTTGGACACCCAGCAGGGCCACCCGAGGGTCTCCAGGCACTCGCTGGCCCTTCCTAGAAAGGGGGATCCTTTTTCTCGAAGCTTCAACCAACTATGTATTAGGGGAACATAGGGGGCATTTTATTATCGCTCACAGTCATTATTGTTATTATATTACTATTTTTATTAAACCTCCCCCTACCAAAGTGTGGGGGACAAAATAAGTATTTATCTCCTCAAGAGCCACATTCCCAGGAGGGATAGACCAGGATGCTCTGGGAAGCAGCAAGAAACCAATAAAGATAACTTTGTAAGCTGCTGGCCTCCCTGCCTGTCTGTCCTCTTGGGGTTCAGTGAGTTGGGGTGGATGAGGGAATCGGGGAGGGGTACTGCAATTAGATTAGGGCAACTTCCTTGGATTTTTGGGAATCAGGTGACACTCAAGTTGAGGGACAGTTTACAAAGTATTAAGGGAACTCACCAGAAGCAGCGGTGCCCCAGAGCCCATAAACAGTGCAGCAGGAGGGCTGAGAGGGGCAGGAGTAGCTTGACAGAGATCTTGGCTGTGGCTGCACTGGCAGGTACCCCCAGAAGTACATTCCCCACCTCACTCTGCTCTTCCTCCCCTCTCCCGTGTCTTTCCGTGCAAGCCTAGCCAGCGGCCTGAGCCCCCTGGAGTCCAGTTACTGCAGGTGACAGGGTGGCCTCGGGAGCATAGGGGTGGAGTAGAGATGGATTTGGAGGCCCACCCAGGACATCTGGCCTCTACTGCTCACCCCGTGAGGCTGCTGAGGGGAGGGGGCGCAGAGTAAGGCCTGGAAGGGAGCTCACGTGCTCTTAGCTGCAAGGACCCAGGATTCAAGGCTGAGCTGGATGGGGAAGGAAGGTGAGGCCTGAGAGCTGAGATCAGCCCAGGCCTTGAGGGCTGGATTGCAGTGCCCTAAGGCTCTGAGCAGGACCTAAAGCTAAGGGAACATATGTATGGAGAAGAGGCAGGGCGCCACCTTCTGGTTGGGAATGGGACTTAGAGGTTTACCATGAAATTCTATGGCCTGGGTAGGAACACAGGCTGGAGGTCAGAACACATGGATTCCAGTGTAGCCATGCTGTCACAGGCAAGTCACCTGCCTCCCAAGCCTCACACTCATCTCATGGGAGGTGCTAGCTGGGTGTGTGGTGGCACGCACCCATAAACCCGGTACTCTGGAGGCTAAGGCAGTTGGATCACTGAGTTCAAGACCAGCCTGTGCTACATAGTAAGTTCAAGGCTAACCTGAACTGTATAGTGAGCCCCTGTCTCAAAAAGACAAAAAAAAAAAAAAGAGGTCTGGAATAGTGGGTGTGTGTTAGGCCATTGGGAATGCTGTCCTCAAAAGGGACTGAGGTAGTTCTTTGTCTTTTTTTTTTGTACCGGGAATCAAACTCAGGACCTTGCGCTTGCCACGCAGGTGCCTGTGCTGCTGAGCTATATCCCCAGCCCCCTAAGGTAGTTCTTGAAAGAGGGAGTTATGAAAGAGCCCCTTCCTGTGCTCTGGCTTTGTCTCACCATCTGAGCTCCCCTCACCCTGCTCCCAAGATACCATCTGCCAGGAGGTCACAGAGCCAAGGAGGTGCTTGCCAGAGGTAGCACAATGCTGCTTGGAATTTCAGCCTCCAAAATATCAGCTAAATAAACTCCATTTCTTTATAAAGTACCCATCTTCAAGTAAGTCATTATAGTGAAAAAAAAAAAAAAAACAGACTCATACACCATTTGGAAACAACTTGCAGACATCCTGAAGTGCATACCTAAATACTTCAGCAGGGATCTCTTAAGAATAAGGAGCTGCCAGCCAGGCATATTGGCATATGCCTGTATCCCTAGCTACATGTGTGGCTGAGGCAGGAGGATCTCAAGTTCAAGGTATCTTTGCAAAGCCCTGATGAAAAGTAAAATATGTTTTTTAAAAAAAAAAGCTGCCAGATATTGTAGTGCACGCCTGTAATCCCAGCACTCAGGAGTTTGAGGCAAGAGGATTGTTGAGACTTTGAAGCCAGTCTGGGCTACAAAGTGAGTTTAAGGCCAACCTGAACTGTATAGCAAAACCCTGTCTCAAAAAGACTAAAAAAATTTTTTTTAAATCTAAAATGGGCTGGAAATTAGGTCACTGCAAAAGCTCTGGGTTAAATCCCTGGTACCAGGGGGAAAAAAATCTGCTATAGGTTGAATTGTGACCTCCTCCCCTAAATTTATATGTTGAAGTCTTAACTTAGATACCCAAGAGAGTGACTTTATTTGGAAATAGTGTCATTGCAGGTGTAATTAGTTAAGATGAGGACAAGGTTATTAAGAGTAAGGCCATGAGGGTAGACCCTAATCCAGTATCATTCCTTCAAAAAACAGAGAGGTGTCAGGGTGTAATTCAGTAGTAGAGTGCTTGTTTTAGCATCACAGGCCCTGGGTTTGATCCACTGCAAGAAAAAAAAAAAACCAACGTAGGCCTGGTGGGATATGCCTATAATCCCAGCACTCTGGGAGGCTGAGGCAAGAGGATCACAATTTTTTTTTTGAGAATCATAATTTTGAATCCAGTATAAATAATTTAGCAGGCTTAGTGAGAGACCATGTCTAACAAATTTTTTTTAAATGTCTGGGAAGCTGGGAATGGTAGCATGTGCACTTTCAACAAAATGGGCAACTTTAATGATAGAAATGCATTGTCTCACGGTCCTGAAGGGTGGAAGTCCAAAACCAAGGTATTGGCAGGGTTGGTTCCTTCTGAGGGCTGCAAGAAGGAACTGTGCCAGGCGTCTTGCCTAAATTGTCAGTCATTGGTCACATTCCCTAGCTCAGCAGTGGCGGACCTATGGCATGTGTGCCGCAGCAGGCATGCAGGCCTTCTCTGTTGGCACGCGAGTCAAGTTGCCCCACTATTGCCCGAGCAGCCAAACATTCAGGTTTAATTATGGTGTGGTGTTGGCGCTTTGTGATAAATAAGTGGGTTATTGGATTGGAGTTTGGGCACTTGTCTCTAAAAGGTTCGCCATCACCTCCTTAGCTTATTGAAACATCACTTTGATCTCTATTTTAATTGTCTCATGACATTCTTCTGGAGAGTGAACCCAGGAGCTTTGCACTGAACTGCAGTTTCAGCTTATTTATTTATTTATTTATTTATTTATTTATTTATTGTCTTTTGGAGACAGGGTCTTGCTATGAAGTTCAGACTGGCGTTGAGCTCACTTTGTAGCCCAGGCTGGCCTTGAACTTACAAAGATCCTCTTGCCTCAACCTCCTGAGTGCAGGGATTACAGGCATGTGCCACCACACCTGGCTTTTTAATATGGAAAAACTCCCTCCTCCAGCACCCATTTTGTTTGGTAGTGCTGGGGATCAGACCCAGGGCTGCACACATGCTAGCCCTTTCCCAACAAGCTGTGTCCCCAGCAACTTCGCTCCCCATTTTGTTCTCTGTTGTTGATACTGACATTTCTGAAGGGCCCAGCCCGGTTACTTTGCAGAATAACCCACATTTTTCTTCAATTTTTTTACTTCTTTTATTAATATAGTCATATCAGTGTAAATGAAATGATTCTATCATGAACTATGGCTCCTGACATCTTGTGGCAGCCATGATCCAGCTGAAAGTTTGACCAGAGCTGGTGGGTGCCTCTGAGGCTGCTTTTTGGAAGTAGGGAATGGAGGCCTTTTAAGTTTCTGGTGGACGCAAGAATTCTTCATTGGTCTCTTTCCTACGGAGTTTTTTTTTTTTTTTTTTTTTCTTTTTCTTTTCATAAACCTCTCTGCTTCTTGTCTTCATATCTTTTCTGTATTTTTCATTTTGTAGTATTTCCTCCATAGTATAGGGAATAGTTCCTCTGATCCAAGCTTCCCCTTCTATTAGGCTACCCCCTACTTCAGCATCTTTTGTTTTGTTTTGTTTTGTCTTTTTGAGACAGGGTCTCACTATGCAGTTCAGGCTGGCCTTGAGCTCACTCTGTAGCCCAGGCTGGCTTCAAACTTGCAAGGATCCTCCTGCCTCAGCCTCCTGAGCACTGGGATTACAGGTGTGCACCACCACCCCTGGCGGGAAAACTTCTTTATTACTCAGTTATTTCACTCTAGTTCTCCATTTTCCTGATATAATTTCCTTCCTTATGGCTGAATAATACCCCACTATGTATATATATAGTACCTTTCCTTTATCGATTCACCCACTAATGGGTACCTAGGCTGCTTCCATATTTCACCTTTTGTAAAGTATGCCAAAATAAGCATGAGTATGCAGCTATCCCTGTAATATTTTGACTTTAATTAACTCCTTCAGGTATAGCTGGGTCAAATGGTAGCTCTATTTATAGGGTTCTTTTTTGGAGAAGTTGAGACAGGGTCTCACTCTACAGTTCAGGCTGGCCTTGAACTTACTGTGTAGCCCAGACTGGCCTTAAATTCATGGTGATCCTTCTGCCTCAGCTTCCTGAGTGCTGAGATTACAGGCGTGTGCCACCATGCCTGGCTCCAAAATGTTTTATACACAGTACCAATATACATACATAGATATATATATCAATTCCCCAAAATTAATGTGAATATTACAAAATACCAATTAAAAAGAATACAAAAAAATTTACCAAAAAATAAATAAATAAGGCTGGGTGTGGTGGCACATGCCATAATCAAAGTACTCAGGAGTCTAAGGTAGGACGATCCTTTCAAGTTCAAAGCCAGCCTGGGCTACAAAGTGAGTTCATGGCCAGTCTGAACTGCATTGTGAAACGATGTCTCAAAAAGGCAAACAAAACAAAACCACAATGAGAGCCAGGCATGGCAGTGCATACATGTAATTCCAGAACTGGGGAAGCTGACACAGGAGGATCATTGAGAGTTTAAGTCCAACTGGGGGTACATAGTGAGGTCAAGGCCAGCCTGAACTACATAGCAAGACCCTATCTTTAAATAAATAAACGGACAAACTACATAGTGAGATCCTGTCTCCAAAAAACAAAATCCAGTGAAATTACAGCTAGGTATGATGGCACATACCTATAATGTCAGCACTTGGCAGGTTGAGGCAAGAAGATGGCAAGTTCGAGACCAGCCTGGGCTGTATAGCTGGTTGGAGGCCAGCATAAACCTCAAAGTAAGACACTATCTCAAACCACCCCTGTGGGTTGTTTTGTTTGTTTGTTTGTTTTTCCGGTACTGGGAATCAAACTCATGACCTTGCGCTTGCCAGGCAGGTGCTGTGCCGCTGAGCTAAATCCCCAGCCCCACAAACCACCCCTGTGAAAATGAGATTATATGCTATACTTATTTATTGTGTCTATTGTCTCCCTACCTCACTAGACTATAAACCTAATGAGGGCAGCAGTCTTAAAAAATAAATATCAACCACAATGTGCCAGTAATGGTGGCAGTACTTGTAATTCCAGGACGTTGGAAGGCAGGAGGGTCATAATTTCGAGCCCAGGCTGGGCATCTTAGTGAGACTCTGTCTCAAATTTTTAAAAAAGGGTAGGGGGAACTCAGTACAAAGGCCTTGAGTTCAATTCCCAGTACCACAAAACAAAACATTTATTTTAAAATAATTTTAAATGTTTACAAGAATTTCAAAAATAATACAAAGTTCTCACATACCCTTACCCTAATGTTAACATCTTACCCAACCATAGTTCATTTCTCAGAACTAATTACTAAAAACTATTATCCAAGCAGTAGATTTATTTGAATTTCATCCACAGGGCTCCAGGCATCCAAGACTTGACTGATTTTAATAGAAATCCAGTCCCCTGGATCCCCTCAGGCCTGGGCCAACTGAGATAGTTGGTCACCTAATTCAGCAGCTGTCCCACAGATTTTTTTTCTCCTGTTCAGATTCAGTCTAAAACACCACATTGCGTCCAGTTATCCTGCCTCTTTAGCTTCTAATTTACAGCATTTTGAGTCTTTCACAATGTTGACACTTTATTTTTTAGACAAGGCCTCACTATGTAGTGCAGGCTGGTTTTGAACACTCAATTTTTCTGCCTCAGCCTGTCCCTCTCCAGTATCTGAGATTACAGGTGTATGCCATCACACCTGGTTGAGTTACAGATTTTTACTAAAAAAAAAAAAATGTACAGAAAATAAGGCAGAAATTTAATCATATTAGCCGGGCACGATGGCTCATGCCTGTAATCTCAGCACTTGGGAGGCTGAGGCAGGAGGATTGTTGGGAGTTTGAGACCAGCCTGGGCTACAAAATGAGCTCAAGGCCAGCCTAAACTGCATAGCAAGACCCTGTCTTAAAAAAAAGAAGAAGAGGGGCTGTGGATTTAGCTCAGCGGCAAAAGCGCCTGCCTGGCAAGCGCAAGGTCGTGAGTCTGATTCCTGGTACCGGAAAAAAAAAAAAAAAGATATTTAATCATATTTTATTCACTGCCTATATATACACCGTGCTCAGAATTGAATGCCTATCTTATTCTAGGACAAGAAACAATCTTTTTGTTTAGTGAATAAACAAACGAACAATATGTTAATATAAACACCACGCTATCATACATATTGTTCTGCAGCTCTTTTTCCTTCAAAAATACGTCCGGAAATCTATTTTAGGCTGTACAAAACTATACATTTAACTCGTCTTAACCTTTACCCTATTACAAATAACTGTAGTGACTCTTTCAACGGTCCTCTTTGAACTTTAGATATTCTTACAAGTGGGTTAAGAGGAAAATTATTAAACACGTATTAAGCACGTTTACAGATTAAAAGATACAGATAAATATCCAAGTATAGCGGCTGAACACATTTACACTCTAGCACGGTTTAAAAGTACCCGTTCTCCACACATGATGCCCAACGATAACAAGTAATCCTCGAGAACCGCAGCAACCACCTCAGAGCGCCTCGTCACGCTCCAAACTACAACCCCCAGGATGCACCGCGGACCCTCTACGAAAGACCAATCCCTGAGGACTCGGGGAAGGGGCGCGGCTTCCCCGTCTCCCTGCCTCGCAGGCGCCGGGAGCCGTGGGACAAACTCTCCCATCAGCCAACGCGGGCGCTGTCATTTCAAGACTCGGCCGAGGTGGGGCAGGCGCTGGACTCCACTTCCCGGCAGGCTGTCCGGCTCAAGGGGGTGGGACTCCATTTCCCAGCAGGCTCCAGGCGGCGGGTGCCGCGGTGCCTTGTGTGGGATGTAAGCCTGGAGGTGGGCGCGGGGGACCAAGGCCAGGACTCTCCTTTGGATTTAAGGGGGCTGGTCTAGGGGCGCCTTCCGTGCGGACTCTAGGGAGCCGGAGGTGTAGTCTTAGGAAGGGGCGGGCCGGCCTTTGGGGGCCCTCGGAGAGATTCTGAGGCACACCCCCATCGGGCCGGGGGTCCTGGGTTGCAGGGTACGCGGAGGCCCTACCGCCTCGGCCCAGCGCGGGCTGGGGTGGGACTGTCGCACGGACCGGGGAGGGGCGGCTGCAGAGTGGAGGCTGGAGGGGGCGGGGAAGCAAGGAGTTGGGGGCGGGGTGGAACCTTAGCCGAGCTAGGGAGGGGGCTCAGGGGCCGAGACCGACCTTCCTCCTCCCCTCCCCGAACCCCGTCCCCTGCCTCGGTCGTAGGCCGCCTCCCGCCGCCATGGGGCTGAAGGCCGCCCAGAAGACGCTGTTCCCGCTGCGCTCCATCGACGACGTGGTGCGCCTGTTCGCCGCAGAGCTGGGCCGAGAGGAGCCGGACCTGGTGCTCCTCTCCTTGGTTCTGGGCTTCGTGGAGCATTTCCTGGCTGTCAACCGTGTCATCCCCACCAACGTGCCCGAGCTCTCCTTCCAGCCCAGCCCCGCGCCCGATCCTCCCGGCGGCCTCACCTTCTTCCCCGTGGCTGACCTGTCCATCATCGCTGCCCTCTATGCCCGCTTCACGGCTCAGATCCGCGGCGCGGTCGACTTGTCCCTCTACCCGCGGGAAGGGGGCGTCTCCAGCCGCGAGCTGGTGAAGAAGGTCTCTGATGTTATATGGAACAGCCTCAGCCGATCCTACTTCAAGGACCGTGCCCACATCCAATCCCTCTTCAGCTTCATCACAGGTTGGAACCTAACAGGTGGCAGGGGCAAGAATGGATCTTGGGTCACCTCAACACTGTGGCTTACAGGGCCCTTTCGCTTGTATACTTTGTGAAATGGGACAGATGTTATTTTTCCCTTTGTATTTGGGGAAACTGAGTCCAAAAGGGGAAGTGAGGTGCCACCGTTAGAGAATGCAGAGCTGGAACTGGAACCTGGTCATTTGGCTCCAGATCTTTTAACCTACATAACCCCAGTCCTGCATTCGAGATACCTGGGTTCAAAGCCCCGCATGGGACCCAAGACGGGGTAGCAGATGGGGGAGGGGAGGGCAAGGAGACAACAGGGGCTACATTTGGGACAGCTAAATGAAATGTCCGAGGGAATCTTTTGAAAGGAAACAGACCACGGACTTGATGTCAAGAAGCTTAAATCTCAAGGCTTGCACAGAATGTCTTTGTGCCAAGCCCAGTTGATGCAATCGAGTCGTGGTGGCATACTGAGCAGGAATCAGACTGCTTCTGAGCTTAGCAGGAAGAGAGTGCAGTGATAAATGAGCGTGCTGGTGGCTGTGTGAAAAAGTGTTGGCCTTGATGCTCTGTTTTTGCTGTGCCTGCTATAATAAGTGCAATAAAACAGGGAAATTTATGAATTAATAGAAATACCTAATGATTACAGAGAAAGGGAAAGGACGGAGAGGTTGGGTTGACATGTTGGAGCTCCAGGAAGGTCTTGCTGGCAACTGGGTCGTAAGTGGGGAGGGAGAGGCTGTGAGCAATGGGAGATGGACAGGCTTGGGAGCTGTGGGAGAGGGTGGTCCCCTTCCTCCTGCTCAAAAGACCTTCTTTCATTACCTACTCCCCTTCCCATAGGCACTAAACTGGACAGCTCGGGTGTAGCCTTTGCTGTGGTGGGAGCCTGCCAGGCTCTGGGTCTTCGGGATGTCCACCTGGCCCTGTCTGAGGATCACGCCTGGGTAGTTTTTGGGCCTAATGGGGAGCAGACAGCTGAGGTCACCTGGCATGGCAAAGGCAACGAGGACCGCCGGGGTCAGACGGTCAACGCGGGTGTAGCTGAGCGGGTATCGTATCCCCTTCCCACCTTGTCTCCGTCATACTGTGCCTAGTCTTAAATTATCCCCAGGACTCTATTTCCCTGGGTCATAGTCCCCTTTTCCCATCACCAACTACATATTTTAAGAGGGGAAGACAGATGAGCCTCTTTCCTGTTGTCATTCCCTAAAGCAAGCCCTGGGTGGGACATCTGGTCTTGTCCTTTCCTTCTAAGAGCTGGCTGTACCTGAAAGGATCATACATGCGCTGCGACCGAAAAATGGAGGTGGCATTCATGGTGTGTGCTATCAATCCTTCCATTGACCTGCACACTGACTCCCTGGAGCTGCTGCAGCTACAGCAGGTGAAGGGTGGGCCCCAGGGTCAGGAGGGAGCCAGGCCAGGCTCCTGATATGACTTGCTATGGGGTCCTGGGCAGGGGTACCTTCCTTCCCTGTGCATCTCTCCTGTAAAGTGGGTAGATAATTCCTGGCCTGGCTTTTCCCAGGGTTCTTGGGCAAGTAAAATGGAGACATAAAAGAGCTTTGATCCCTTAACTGGCTGGTTCCTGAATTGTGGTCCTTCTTACCTGGACCATACCTCTGCCTGCTAGGGCCACCCCACACCCCACCCCCAACTTACAATTTTCCTCTTCGGTTTCTAGAAGCTGCTCTGGCTGCTGTATGACCTGGGACATCTGGAAAGGTCAGTAGGGGGAAGTTGCTTAACAGGGCCAGAGGACTGGGTGGCATTGTGGACTTACGATTCTTTCCCAGGTACCCCATGGCACTGGGGAACCTGGCAGATCTGGAGGAGCTGGAGCCCACCCCTGGCCGGCCAGACCCGCTTACCCTTTACCACAAGGTGAGGTCTTCCCATGAGGCAAAAAGGGGGGGTAGCTGGGGTCCCCTTTCTGGGGACAGAAGAGGGATGAGAGAGAAGAACTTTGTTGGGGGATTATCACCTGTGTGCATAATCGATGTAGGCAAAGCTGTCCAGATTGGGTATGATTGGCAGGGCCTGGATATATCCCCCCAGCTCTACATTTTCTGCTGCCTCTTATCCTTCTGGTGTATAACAGGTCACATGTGGTGGGAACACTGAGGAGGGGGTGTTAACGTGGTGGGAATCAAGGTGGGGGATTGGGCTTGGATGTCTTTGATGTTAGGTAGAAAAGTGCGTGTGAAACCTGGGAAGGAGCTCTACCCTGGGATTGAAGTTTGGGCTCCTGCCTTCCACAGAACAGCTTTGTTCCGTGGGGAACCCTGCCTCTGCTGTTGGCCCCCAGCCTCAGCAAGCAGCCTGCAGGCCCAGAGAAAAGCACTGGGTAGAGGGGCTGGCAGGGACGAGAGGTGGGAAGACTCTTTGAGAGCTTCCTTTTACCCCTCCTGGATGGAACCCGATGGGGCACTCGTGCCAGCCCACACCGCTGGGGGCTGCCTCCCTGAGGCTCCTCTGCCCTCCCCCCCCCAGGGCATTGCCTCAGCCAAGACCTACTACCGAGATGAGCACATCTACCCTTACATGTACCTGGCTGGCTACCACTGTCGCAATCGCAATGTGCGTGAAGCCCTGCAGGCCTGGGCAGACACGGCCACTGTCATCCAAGAGTGAGGACCCCAACTCAACCCTGAAGGGCCTCCAGCCTGTCTTTTCCTCTCTCCATCTGGTTTCCAACCATTCTTATCCAGTAGTGAGACCTGGTCCTAAGCCCTATATCCTTTCCTTTCAATCCCTACAAAGCCAAGGCCACCATCATTCAGGAGGTAGGGACCTCTGATCAGACCCTTGTGCTTTTGCCTTCCTTGGCAGTTTCTAATCACTGTCATTCTTCAGGAGACTTCTACCTCTGGCCCCGTACCCAGCCCTCACTCTTCCTCTGGGTGACACAGACACCATCATCTCAGAGGAGTGAGGACCCCAGCTGCTCACCCAGCCCAGAGGGGAGAAACCTGGCCCCGTCTCCCACAGCGCCCTGGGGCCACCCACCATGGCTATGATCCCACAACCCCCCATGCTCTCACAGCTATAACTACTGCCGGGAGGATGAGGAGATCTACAAGGAATTCTTTGAAGTGGCCAATGACGTTATCCCCAACCTGCTAAAGGAGGCAGCCAGTTTGCTGGAGGCGGGCGAAGAGCGACTGGGGGAGCAGACCCAGGTGAAGGGCGAGTATGCTGCTGGTGTCCACCTCCCACCTGGGCAGGCCCCTGCCACAGGACATGGGACTGCGTGGTCAGGATGGAGCACTGCACATGGGAAGTGGTCCAGAGCCAAGGCCATGGGCAGGGTTTCAGGGAGCTGAGGGTGTTGTAGGGGATTATGCCCCTGCCCTTAGGTAGATGGGGTGGAAGCCCGTCGCTTTCGTGGCCAGGGTCCTCAGACACTATGGAGGTGAAGGATGTTCCTCTTCCTCCTCTCGTCTGGGTACTGGCTTTGGAAATGGAAGAAGGCTTTAAGAATGCTCCTGTCCCATGCACACTCCTGTGGCCAGGGCTGTGCCTATGGGGAGGCCTGGCGTGTACCTCTGCTAAGGGATAAGGGGGTTCGACCTGTGCCCTTTGCGCCCTCTGTCCAGGGCACCCAGAGCCAGGGATCCGCCCTCCAGGACCCTGAGTGCTTCGCCCACCTGCTGCGGTTCTACGACGGCATCTGCAAATGGGAGGAGGGCAGCCCTACGCCAGTGCTGCATGTGGGCTGGGCCACTTTCCTTGTGCAGTCCTTGGGCCGCTTCGAGGGACAGGTGAGGGGCAGGGCTGGGCACTGCAGGTGGTAACAGTGGCCGCAGGGAAGTCAGACCCTTTCAGCCAAGAGCAGCACCTGTTCATCCTCCTTGGGTACAGATGAGAGGAGACCTCCCAGAATGAGGTGGCTGTGGCAGGGTCCTGGGGTTCAAACCAGTGACCTGCACCCTTTTTCTCCGCTTGTCCCCTCCGCAGGTGCGGCAGAAGGTGCACATAGTGAGCCGAGATGCTGAAGCCGCAGAAGCGGAGGAGCCCTGGGGAGAGGAAGCTCGGGAGGGCCGGAGGCGGGGACCTCGGCGTGAATCCAAGCCCGAGGAGCCACCACCTCCCAAGAAGCCTGCGCTGGACAAGGGCCCCAGCTCAGGCCAGGGCGTGGGGTCAGGACCCCCTCGAAAACCCCCAGGGATGGTCCCAGGCACTGTCCGGGGCCCTGAGGCCGGCAGCGCAGCTCAGGTCCCTGCGCCCGCTGTGTCACCGCCGCCCGAGGGCCCAGTGCTCACTTTCCAGAGCGAGAAGATGAAGGGCATGAAGGAGCTGCTGGTGGCTACTAAGATCAACTCGAGCGCTATCAAGCTGCAGCTCACTGCGCAGTCGCAAGTGCAGATGAAGAAGCAGAAGGTGTCCACGCCCAGCGACTACACTCTCTCTTTCCTCAAGCGGCAGCGCAAAGGCCTTTGAACTGCTGGGAACTTCCTACAGCCAGCCCCGACCCAGGCTCCGCCCCGACCCAGGCTCCGCCCTCCCCTGCCGGATCGTGGCTGCCCGGGTCCCCAGCCCCATAGCTCCCCGGGGCCCAGGGTATTCCGGAACTCCAGAGTTCCCAGTTTATGGACGATTTACCTCGCGCCTGAACCAACGATTCGCTCCAGCTCAGAATCCAGGGACTGCGCTCAGTCCTTAGAATATAGGTCCATTTCCCACAATACCAACTTGCCAATTGGGACCTCACCGCAGTCCAAGGCACCAGTGCTTAAAGGCCCAATCCCTGGAAACTCGGGCCCGACGTCGGAACGGAAGCGCTAGCCCTAGGCCAGACGGAGTCCCTCAAGGATCCTCCCCATTCCTGAGGGCAGAGGATTCGCCCTTAATGCTAACAGCAGCAGTCCCACCTTCAGTCCGGAAATCGAGGACCCCACTCAGTGCTCAGGAGTACATTTCTGCGCTTAAGAAATTCCATCCTTTGGGAATCCAGGACCCTGCCCCAAAGTACTGAAATCCCGCTGGCAGAAATTTGGAAACCAGCTTCCTTTCCTCCCCCTCCTAGAGGCTGGGACGCGAGGCCCCGCCCCTTCCTGACCAAACTGGCCCCAGATCAGAGCAGGACCTCTCCCGACCCTCCGGGAACCTCCCCAGGGTCAGCCCATTTCGGGGACCTGGGAGGAAACCTGCAGGGGGTTGGGGGGGAGCTGATCGCTTCCTGTTTTGTACATAGATTTATTTTTCAGTTGCAAGGAAGATGAATACATTTTGTTAAAAAAGCACGTGTGCGTGTTTCATCTGGGAAACGGGGCGGGCAGTGGAAGTCCCTTCTTTCCTCCGGCTCTAGACTTCGTGCTCACCACCTGTAGCGCGTGAGGCACCAGTGGCCTGGAGCGACCCATCCCAAGCTCTGCCTGGCTTCGGGGCTTCCCCGTGCCACAGCGGGCCTGTCCCGCGGGCGCCTCCTCCCGATCGGGCGCTGGGCGTCTCCAGCGTGGCCCCGCCCCCGCGGCCTCGGAGCCACCG